ACCCACTTCCAGCCAACGCGTCGCATGGTCAATCATGGTAATACCGTAGTGTCCGTCTTCGTAGGGACCAATGAGATCGACATGAACGGTGTCGAAGGGGTTCACCGTCTTGAGTGTTCGTGGTGGTAGTAATCCATAGTCCTGCTTGCCTCCGTGGACCTTTGCCTTCTTGAAAATTAGACAATCTTTCGCATTCTTGGTGATCGCGGCTTCCATTCCGGGCCAGTAGAGAACCTGTATCATCTTCTTGTACTGTCGTTCACCGCCAGGGTGACTGAGCGTTAAATGATACCAACGAATGAGATATTCACGCAAGCTATCGGGCACGATGACGCGCTTTTGGTACGCGACCAGCGTGCAGCCGAGTAGAGGTAGAAGCTGATAGTCAGGATTGTTGCTGCCGTTGAGGCAAGCTGTCTTGATTTTTTGAATCATCAAGTCCTTATCTTAATGTTCGCGAAGAACCGGACCATGCATGACACAATCTGGTTCATCAGCGGTAGCACATATCTCGTCCGCGAGCTGCAAATGAGTCTTCATGCTCATGGCATCAAATCTCATCCGGGAAAACGCATCAGCACCAACATTCTTGGTTCCCTTGATGTAATGCATAGAGAGCCTGTACTCAGCCAACAGCAGCTTCCAGCGCTTTACGCGCAGGCTGGTTTCGGTCGGATAAATTAGGTTCTTATGGTCGGTATGAACAACCACAGGGAACCCGAGCAGCATGGTGCGGTATTCGCGCAGCATTTCAACGATAGAGAGAAGCTCAAGTTCCATCGTTGTGTAATTCACTTGATGCTTGTTGAGACTTCGGGAATAGCAGGCGAGAATCTGGTTCTTCTGCATAATGATGCCACCGAGTTGCTGTCCGCTGGCATCGGCGTGGACGTAAAATGGTTGCTCAAAGTCGGGAAACGCAAGCAGTACGGCTTGGGCAAACGATTTCTGGACAGCGTGAAATGCTTCCGTGTCGCTAGACAACAAGTCGAACGGGACTTTGGAACTGGTGAATCGGTGAGAGGTTGGCACAATGCCGTCTTGTTGGGTACCATATCTCGATAGTAATTAATCATTCCGAGGAAGCGGCGGAGTTCCTTCCTGGTCTTGGGGACGTAAATTTGTTGGATGGCTTGAATCTTCTTTTGTTGGGGCTGGATCCTTTGAGATGTCAGCGTAAAGCCGAGATAGTCGACGGACTGTCTGAGGATATGGCACTTCTTTCCGTTGAAAGTTACACCATACTTGGTTAGTCGCTTGAACACAATGTGCAGGTGCTCTAGGTGCGTCTCTTCACCATCGGATAAGACGAGTATATCATCCAAATAGACTACCACAAAATCCAGATCGCCAAAAATCTTCTCCATGCAGGCTTAATATTCGTCCGGTGCTGTAGAAATGCCCATTGGTAGTCGCTTGTATTGATACTTCCCGAACGGAAGACAGAAAGCTGTGTGACCACGGCTTGAGGCAGCAAGGCGACGCGCGTAATACCCCATGTTTGCGTCGAATGTTGACAGATACTTGGCGCCTGCGAGTCGCAACAGGATCTCGCGTATACGTGGGACGTAATAAGGGCTGCGTTTCAGATATCGGTTGAGTCCGCGAAAATCTATCAGTAGGCAAAGTGATCCGCTGGGCTTCTTGAGAAAAAAAGCAGGCGATGCCATTTCTGAATTAAAAATCTGCTCCAGCACGTCGATGCTGACTAAATGCTGGATGAGCTCTCGAGCCTTGTTTTCGAGGCTTTTCAGGACTAGATAAGGTTTTGCGTGTACAGGCTTGTACTCCGGCACTTTTGGTAGAGCGTATTCCTCGATTCGTATCCTCCCCAAGTGACCGTCATAGAGTTGCTCGTTATCGCGAAGAAGCTTGAGATATTTGCCGACGAGGGGCTTGGATAGCCTGTCTGGCATGAGGTCTTCTGGTCGCACTGCATTGTTATCGCCTTCTTTGCTCTCTTCGGGGAATTCATATTCACTTGCGTTGGGAGACGATGACCCGCCGGTGTTTAAATGTGTATCGTGGCCATCCCACTGAACCATTTTGTCTTTATTGAGCACGATTCCCAATTCATTCAGGATATCACGACCGATCACCATAGCATCCTGGCTCTGATCCAGAATTTCGAACTTGTGCGTGATTTTGGTCGAAGGCTTGAGATACGGAAAGCGAATCTGTACAATCGTACTACCAGCATTAGCGACCTCTCCGTTGATTGTCTGAAACTTTGTCGCCGACTCGACTTGTCTATGCCCAAGCTGAGCATTGGCTCGCATAGTTTCTTGGTCGATTATGCTCCGCGAGGCACCACTGTCTAGCAGGGCATTGAAGGTGCCACTCGCATCTTTGAATTGCACCGTGATCCGCAGTGGAGCGAGCTTGGCGCTCGGTTGTTTCTTCTTGACAAGGCCAAAAAGCTTAAGCTCGCTGTCGCTGTCACTGTCGCTTGCCTCTTCCTCTTCGAATCTTGGGTAATTACTCTTTTTTTGAGCAGGTCGTTTCGTCTCGGCAGGCTTGTGCTCTTCGCGTTGCTTCTTGAGGGCAAAGCATTCGCTGGAATCGTGCGAGCTTGATTTGTGGAATGAACACCACTTGCCGTGTTCTTGGTGGCTTTCATGTTTCTTCTTGCCGCCTTGTACACCCGGTCGGTCTCGATGATCTTGACGCGTGTCGCGATGCTCGCGAGGGTGCGCCGATCTCTGCGCCGGTCAGCGGTAGGGCGATGTTAGTGGCGTCGACCTTGACCCTTTTCACCACCCTGGATAGCTGGGCCATTTAGGCGATCCCGGCCAGTCTGCCTCTCGCGCCTTTCGAGGCGTTCGAAATACATAGCCAGTTCGTTCACCGTCTCATACGAAATTCCGCAGCACGCGAGCTTGTCTTGCCAGTGCGGCGGTATGGCTCGGCGGAAATAGCGACATTGTTGAAGCTCTGAGATGGTTTGCGCATCCTGGGGCAGCTCGGCGTACATCTGTGCAAGCTGTCGTAGCCGTGCCGCGCAGCGTTGTACCGTCTCTTCTCTGCGCTTGGTGAGGGTCCATATTTCTTCATCCAGGTCTTCACAGTAGTCCGCTGGGACCAGAAGAAGTCCAACCTCACGGTTAAAGTCTTCAAATGTCAGGCCTTTTCTGGAAGCATCGCTGGCGATGCGCTCTACTTCGCGCAACAGATCACCGTAAATCAGCGTAAGAAGTTGAACGGATAGTTGTTCAGCTCTCCAGCCTTTTCGTTTCGCGAGGCTTCGAAACTGCATGCTCCATGTGAGCCAGTCCTTCGATGAACCACCGCGAAAGCGCTTTATCTTCATTGTGGCGACGTCAGCTGGTGAAGTCGCACTTTCTTGGCACGTCACGATGGTGTAAGTGAAGTATTCATCCTCATTCCGTCCCATGATGATGGCGACGGGATTCTCGTACGGGATGAGATGTGACTGAATTAGCCAAATTTGACATATCAAAATGACAAACCCGGCCCGTGGCTTGCAGAGGGGCTCGAGTCTAATGTAGTGAAATGGAGAATGAATATATTGAGGAGAAGTGTTAAACTTGGTAGGCTAGTCTGGTGTAATCATATCAAAAGTCTGGCGCAATCTCCTTTCGTCTGGCGCAATCTTCTTTCGTCTGGCGCAATCCAAGGATGGTCTCGCAGGTCATATAGATAGACAACCCATGTCATGTCGTTGTCTCGACAAACCATACTGTAGCACACTGTTGATCATTTTGTTTCCGTACGGATCCGACTTTCGGGTACCTCGCAGGTGAAGCAAGGTTGATTTCTTCCAGATGCGTTAGTTCGACTTGTATGAACTTGGCAAATGTGGCGGGTTGTTCGGCCGTCTCGATACGAAATACGCGGAACAGGTGGCTGGTCCATCGACGAACGGACCCATGCATTCGATCGTTTGATCGCTCTTCATTCGAAGTCGCTTTGATGGAAGTAGACCTGCACGTGGCGTAACAGCGACTTTCCTTCCCTACTCTAGGGTAAATGATTCCATGATCATTGGACGGATCACAAAGTGCTACCGGGTGTGACGGGGCACTCTATGCCCATTCTGATGACTATATAAGACATCCTAGCTGGCAATAGTGTAGTCAGATGCCTCGAAGCTTTACGTGCACGGAAGCGCACAGGAAGCTAAAGAAGCAGCAACACGTTCGATGAGTGTAGAAAGATATGTGTATCCAACGTGGTTAAGCTTAGCAACGCAAATATGCTGAGACCTTCCCTGACGATGACCAAATACTAGCGTGAGCTTACTGTAACTATCTCCTTACCATCTACTGCGCGCGTCCAGCGTTCATTGGGCGCTTTGCTACGAAATTATTCAATAGACACAAAAATGGTCTATACCAATTAACTAGCAGTAGTTGTCGGATTTTACATTCTAGAGTGCAACTGAAGCATTTAGCCGCTGCGAAAGTATCCGCATTGGCGCTTACACATGTCAACTTCATGTAACGGGTCGCCTCGGCACAGCTGATGCAATCGTCAGGCCGGTTTTCGTAGCTCAGTATGTCGGTTCGTTTGTGCGACAAGAGGCTCAATCAGACGATGGAAGATCCGTCTCACGATACCAAGTGGATGCTCCTCACAAGAACTCTGCGGGAATTGGCGTACGAAGAAGAGCTAGAGATCGAGAAAGATTACGCGTACTGCGGTAGTCTGAGCTTGTTCTTGCATTTCGACACAGCCTTGCAGCGAGAGAAAAAGACTACAGTCATCGCCAGACGGCTTGCTGGGTATCATAATCGTCTCACGTCAACTTCCTTCAAAGCTGTCCAAGCAAACCTGCACTCGCCACCCTCGTACAGAGATGACAAGAGCCACGTCATCCAATGCAAAATAAATCCGGCGCCACAAGCATCCGTATTCGAGCTGTGGCTCTGCTGAAGGCATTGCCCACCAATGATGCACCTTCAACTTCACTCGATTCCAAATCAATTTATGCAGGCCCAGATAGCAGCTCTAGCCGGAACTAAATGCACATGCCATGATTACACAGTGTCCGCAATCTGGTCAGCGTCACTCGACAAAAAGCCCAGCTCGTCTTCCTCGCAAATAGTCGGGCAGTCGCGCAGAATTGCATGCGACATGGCGAGAGCACCGCTGTCAAGCACCACATCATACCAAATGCACATCACACTCGTCAAGAACTCGTTCACCAGTGCTCTAGCGCGTGCGTACTCGAGCAACTGACCTGGCCGAGCAGATCGTGAACAAAATAGAGCCTCCAAAGAGAACTACAACTGCCGCGCTCACTAAAACACACCAAAGCAGAAACAACGTGTGAGCGAAAACGACCTGGTTCAGCAGCAGCAGCAGCCCGCGCCATCCAGAAAGGCTCTGCATACCGCCAAGCATGCCGAGTTTCCGCTGGTCAGGTGTCACAGTGCGACCCATGATCTTGGTCGGGTTCTCAGGCGTCTCGCTCGCTGTCGCGCTTGTCATGTAGAGCCAGAAACCGCCCAGACAGATGAGGACGAACAAAAAGAACGGGTTCAGCAAGCTGCATCATCGAAACAAGCAGACACAAGAGCCACCACCACATCACGTGTCAGCGAGCAGCAACGCTATCAGACTCTAGTGTCCCCATGCTCTGTCGCTATTACATCGTGACGACGCCAACCAGCGCCGCAGAGATCGCGTAGTTGGCGCTGAAGAACACGGCGTTCTTCCGGCACCTCACGGCCAGCACCTCACGTCCCGGTACATTGAACGGTTTCTCTTCGCCTATATGAGGAGACGAACAGCACGCGGTAAGTACGGGAGAGGCGCAACGATGGAAGAGAAAACGGCAAAAGAGCGTGGGACGCACCGAGACCGAAGAACTGAGAGAGGCCGCGCACGTTGCGGACGTCAACGGCCTTGAAAACCTGTTTGCGCATCTTCTTCAGCACATGCTCTGGCACTTCGATCGTGATCGTGCCCTGCGGCTCGTCAGCGGCGACGGTTGCGGCGCTCATTGTCGTCGTGAGGGCGCGGAGTGGCGGCTTGTCGGATTGTGCGGGGACGCAGTTGCTTTGACACGAGTCGATTCGCTAAAAATAGACACCGCTGGCCAATCAAAGAGTGCAGCGCGAAACCACGCGGAGGAGTGAAGGTCACCGAACCCGCTGCGAACGAGAGACGGGGATAGTGAGGAGTGATGGTCACCGAACCCGCTTCGGACGAGAGACGGCGATGGTGAGGAGTGATGGTCACCGAACCCGCTTCGGACGAGAGACGGCGATGGTGAGGAGTGATGGTCACTTCAACTTCCGCGCGTTTGGTGCAACGATGCAGACGCGCGAACGGAAACGCGCAGCCCCACGGAGCAAGACGTGCCAGCTCGCCGACACGCCGGATCGAGACAGTGCGTAGCGTACACCTTTTGCTGCGTCTTGTTGCGTTGCTATGCTCATCGAACAAGACGGATACTAACGTGCTCGCGGTCCAGGCGACAACGACAAGGTGCAGTGAATGTGTATACACGTGATCGTTCAGCACAAGACGACGTATACGAACATGCTGTGTTTGTTGCAGGAGAATGCAGAGAATGCGGCGACCGCAGAACGTCGCGACACACGAGACCGAGTCGCGCGGGCTCCTCGTCGAGGCAACAAGGGACTGTCTGTGAGGCAGCAAGTCGGCAACTCGGCTGGCAGCAGCGCTGCGAGTCAAGAATCGCCGCCCCGTTTTGCCTGCAAGACGAAAAAGACGCTGTTTCGCACGCGGAAGATGCTGAAACGGGAACGGCAGCTCGAAGAAGAGGAGCGGAACAAGAAGCGCATTGAGGATCTGGTTGCGTACTTTCAGCACTTGGACGAGCAGAAGCTCGAAACGGCTTAGACGCGCTACTCGTCAGTGGGTGCTGCAGATCGTACAGTTCACTGATGACAACGTGAGCCATCATCATCCTTTCGTGACGGCTGAAGTGGTTGACGTCGACTGCGCAGTAGCTAACGAAAGAAGCTGCGCACAGTAACGAGGATTCTGGTGACGACGTTGACTTTCTTCCGCTTTCTTCACAAGGCGGGGGGCATCAATGGCGACTGCTTCTCTCAAGACGTTGTAGACGGCCTCCTGCGGCGAATCGACCAATCCATCAGTCAGCCAAGTCAGTCAGGACATGAAACAAGTTAATCGCATTGATTGCAGTGAAGAATTGAGTGAGAGCTGGCTCACTGTGAGATGAGTTGTTTACCTGCATTTCGGGCTCGGAATCGTCGAGGTGGACAAAAAGGCAGTCCAACGTGTAGTCGAGAACAGGTCCTTGCAAATGCTTCTTCGGCGCTGTTTTGAAGAACGTGGCAAACGTCTGGCAGGCGGCTCTGCGCACAATGTCGTTGCTGTCATCCAGACGCTTTAGTATCTCCGAGCACAGTTGCTGAACAGGGTCCTCTGTCGGAAATACGAATCTGCTGTCAGGACATTGTTGCGTCGTATGCAAGCAGCGGACGTGCAGCTTACCTCCCAGACAGCCAGGCCGCGACACAAACAAACACTGTAGCGCAAGGCAAACCAGCTCGCGAGTTTTGGCGTCGCTCTCGTCGATCGAAGATCTCAAGACGAGCAGCAGCTACACGGAAGTAGTGCCACGAGTGCACGTATCAGCACGACCACCTGTCGACGATGTGCAGCAATGAAAACAATCACCTGGGTCGCGGTCTCGGCCAAGCATGTCTCGTCGATGATTTCTTGACGTAGGCAAGTATACGCACATGCGACGGCCACCTTCCTGATTGCACCAAGTGAAATGGTGTGCATGTCAGCACTATTGCAGAACGAGTGCATGCTGAAGTGTGTACTCTTACCTGATGGTTGCAGCTATACGCTCTCCGCGGCAAGCGATGTTAGGAATTATTGCCTTCTGAAGCAGCACCGCACTAAACGATCGCAGCGCCTGATCGTAGCACAATTCTGTCAATACTTGCACTCTCGACTATCTGTGGTGACGACCGCGGCACACCTGACTGGTCGTATCCCTCTCCAGCATGGACTCTAGCAATGCAAGGAAAGCAAGCCGGACGTCTGCGTCCTGGACCGGTTCCAGATGCACCAAAAAGACGGGCACAATCTTATCCAGCTTCTCGCAACATGCCTGGCGTAACATAAACGTCGGTGAATCAGATCGAAGCAAAACCGAGTTAGCGCTAGCACACAGGCGTATTCGCACCACTCCTCCGCGCCGGCAAAGTGAGTCGAATAGCAGTCGAGTGGGGTTGCTTTTCTGCCAGCTTGTAGCTGCATCTGATGGTAGCGTCATTGTATCGATGAGTCTACCCATGTAGCGGGTGTAAAGCGTCTGCGGCAGAAGCGTGGGTCTCGAGCTTAGAAACATATGCGGAAACAAGGTGTGTCCTCAATGACTGACTCACCTCTACCGGCTGCTTCATGGACGTCGCAAGCTCATTCATGCACATACTTGCCTGGGACCACACAAGAGAAGAGCGGCAGTCAACCCGTGAGCCAATTCAGCAGCAGTACATCGCCTCGCAACAAGCTTACCGTTTCATAAGCAGCTGATGACTCGGACGAAGAGGCCAGAAGGTGGCTCAATACCCAGAATAGCCGGAAGCAACTATCGTCTTTGTGCTCAAGCATCGGTCCAGCGGCCTTGACAATACTGGCTACAACACCAGCCAACTGATTCTGCAGGTCCGTTACTTCAGATTCGCGCAGGCCAGCATCACATAGTGCTTCACTGATCAACTACAAGATTTTCACAACGAAAAAGCATGCCAGGTGCTCAGACTCCCAGAACAAATCGGTACAATTGGTGCAAGCTTTACCTCCAAGTGAGCTTCGATCATCTGTTTCGTCATGCCTTCGATACTCATGCCCAGCAAGATCAACCCGTTTGTGCGATGTTGCGCAGAGTCTTGTCCTGTTCGTTGGCCAGCTGCCATAGGAAGCAGGGAGGCCAGGATCACTCGAGAGTCTGCATAAAAACCGATAACGGCCAAGCATGCTTTTACACTATTGCAGACAATTGCTTCGTCGTCACGGCAGGTCTTTCCTAACGCTGCAAACACTTCGTCGAGGTATGGGTTCATGTGATCCTCGAGCAAGATCAGGTATGCAGTCAGCACTTTCGTGTAGCGTTCACGCACTCGCACAGTCCAGTCTCCTATCTTCTCGAGCAGAGAGGGCAACACCTGAGCTTTGACGCTCGCTGCAAATTTGCGAGCACCAATTGGTGGGCAAGTGTCAAAGAAAAATGGAGGGACGCTTCCAGCAGGTTCCGAATCTACGTCCATTCGCTCGTCGTCTGATGCAACTTCTCCGGCCTCATCGCGACTCTCCCAAATGACTGCAAGGTCATTCAATTTGGCAACAGAAAGCGCACGCACATCGGGTGCATCGTCGGTCACGCCTGCTAAGAGAATAGGGAAGACAGATGCTTCGAACTGTCCAATCTGCTCAAGCTGAGCCATCCACGCCGCCAGTGTGATCACTAGCTGCTTCCTTACGGACGGCGATTGGTCAAGCACCACTTTGCTTACCGCCGGCAACAGTATCTCCTCCATAAGGTGCGGAAGAGCTTCCGAGCCACAAGGCACTGCTGCTGCAAGTGCCTGCAACGCGCACACACGCACACGACTATGCTGGTGACCGAGATTGACGACCATGGGCCGGACAATAGTGCCCATGTGCAAGCGCACGTCGTGTTTCCAGGTATGTGCGATCAAAATGACGCATTCCGCCGACATTTTCTTTGCATCCGGGAACGGGTCCACCGCCGTCTTGCTCAGTGCATTGGCCAGCTCTGTCATCACGTCTCGTAACGCCGTCGTCGCCGGTGTGCCTTTCACTGCTGCAAAGTGCTTCAGAAACGCATACAGCAGCTGCAGGAGAAGCAGACGCATCTCTTCCGTAGGCTCAGGGAACGGCAACTTGCCGAGTCGAGCGTCCATCAGCGCGACAACCTCCTTCAGCGTTGCGCTCGACGGCTCGAGTGCCCCACGCTCGCACAGAAACAGCAGCGAGCGCAGCGCTTGCTCACGGCATTTCTCCACAGCGTCGCGCTCGGCGCATTGCCGCAACGGACGCAGCAAGTGGGACACGCAGAGCGCGCGCAGCACGGCGTGGGACACGCGCAATGCCTCGTGCTGTAGTGCACGGTACAGTCTTTCCACGCCGCGACGACGGACCGTGCGGTCGGAGTCCGCGAGGCAGTTGATGTCGCGCTGTATTCGCATGCACAGCATGTGGTACGCAGCTTCGTCGTCTGGAGACAGCGTCATGGCGCAGATTTGCCTGTCCATGAGCTGCCACTCGATGCAGACATACAAATAAAGAGTGACAAAACGTTGGGCAACGTAAGGCTCCAGCAGCAACATTGGGTAGCAGGTGGCTTCAACATGCACTTGGCATGGAGTCGTCTATGTGTTCGTCGACGACGGCGCAGCGCTTCGACTACAAACCCCGCCATCGATCGGTGATATCGCCACGTCCTACTACAGCAGCTAGTGGCACCCTACTTCCGCTTGCCCTGCGCCCGCTTGCGCTCGTTGGCCGTCAGCTCGCGCTTTCGCATGCGAATCTTGGTCGGGGACACGTCAATCATTTCGTCCTCGCCAATGTAGGTGACCACATCCTCGAGAGACATCTGGCGGATAGGAGACAGCTTGATGTTCTCGTCCGTGCCAGCCGCGCGCATGTTCGTGAGCTTCTTCTCCTTCGTTGGGTTGATCTCAATATCCGTAGGGCGGCTGTGCTCACCCACGATCATACCCTCGTACACTTCATCGCCAGGTTTGACGAACATCTCGCCACGATCTTCCAGCGAGTTCAGCGCGTACGCCTGTGGCAAACGAAGAGCTACAATCAGAGGGAGTCTCGACGTATTGATGGACGATAGACTGTCCTCAGCTCGTTCTTACCGTGCACACGCCTCTAGATGAAGAAATGAGTTTGCCTTTGGACGGAGGAGTGGCCGAGCCTTGATAAGGAGAGTAGCTGTGGAAGATCGAGTTCAAAATGCCACTTCCGCGGGTGTCCGTCTTGATCTACAGGTCGAAAAAGCGATACAAGTCAGTACGACACCATTGATACTGCGATGCCAGCAATATCGTCCAGCACGATGCATACCTCACTTCGGTAACCCATGAGACAGCGACTGGGAATCTTGAACTGAAGACGCACTTTGTCGTGCATTTCCTTAAACTCGACGATCTCGCCACCACGGGTCGACAGTTTGTCGATCACCGTGCCTGAAAAGTCAGTATCGACATCAACTGTCACTTCTTCGATGGGCTCCAGCTTCTGCTTTGTCTCTGGATCCGTCTGGAATAGCACCTGCGGGGCCGAGACGGACATCTCGAAGCCCTCTCGACGCATCTCTTCGATCAAAATAGCGAGCTGGAGCTCCCCGCGGCCATGGACATCGAAAGCCTCGGACGAGGTGCTAGGAGAGATGGAAACAGCAACGTTGTTCTGATGACGCCAATCAGAAACACTCATGAGCGATCCATTTCGCATACGCTAAGTGCAATTATGGAAGACGGGCAACCGCTTACCTCGCACTCACGCTCAAGACGTTGCTTGATGTGAGAAGACGTGACGAACTTGCCTTCTTTGCCTGCCGTCGGTGCGTCGTTCACGCCAAATGTCATCGAAATCGTAGGAGGATCTAACTGAGGAGACGGAATGGGCTCCGTCACAGTTACATCAGCGATTGTGTCGGACACGAATGCGTTCACGCCAGCGATAGTGATAATGTCACCTATGGCACGCGTTTACATTGCGACACTTGATTCACTGAGACACGTTGAAGCAAAGTGAGAGGGTGAGGCACTTACCGGCAGTTGCTGACGTGATTTCCGACTTCAGAACGCCCCGGGTCACAAACATCTTCGTGACCCGACCTGTTTCAAGTTTTTTGCTGTCGCGATTCATCACTTGGATCGAGTCGCCGATCTAGTCCATGTCGTGCGCCAAGCCAAAGCAGACGTGAGTCAGAATAAGGTGACGATGGTGGTGGTACACTACTGCCATCAATAGCGCACCTTGACAGTTCCGGCGTGGACGCGGCCAGTTGCCAGGCGACCAACGTACGGGTCGTGGCCAATCATGGTCACAGCCATCGCAAACGGCTTGTCGGAATTGGCCTCCGGTGCAGGCACGTAGCGGGTAATCTCGTCAAGCAGTGGCATCATGCTATCCCGCGTCTCGCTCTTGTTGTCCAAATCACGCACAGCCCAGCCCTGCTTCGCAGATGCGTACAGGACCGGGAACTCGAGCTGATCGTCGTCGGCATCCAGTGCTACAAACATGTCAAACAACTCGTTTTCCACGGACCCATCCAGGCGACTGGTGTCGCGATCCACCTTGTTGACAACCACGAGCGGCTTCAGCCCGCACTGCAATGCTTTTGTCAGGACAAACTTGGTCTGCGACATGGGCCCTTCCGTAGCGTCCACGACTAGCACGACGCCGTCCACCATACTCAAGATGCGCTCCACTTCGCCACCAAAGTCAGCGTGCCCCGGTGTGTCCACAATGTTGAGCACGTGGCCGTTGTACTCGACGCGCGTGCACTTGGACATGATCGTGATGCCGCGCTCGCGCTCCAGGTCGATGCTGTCCATCACGCGCTCCTCCGAGAGCGTGTTGCCTCCGTGCTTGAGCAGCTGGTCCACCAGCGTCGTTTTCCCGTGGTCGACGTGTGCCACGATGGCGACATTGCGAATGTTCTCAGCTGTGACGGCCGAGTAGTCCGTTGCAAAGGCACGTGCGAGCACAGGTAGTTGGCGCTGCAAGAGAGAGCGCTGACTCGAGCGAGTGCGCGCTAGAAGAGGCAGGCCCCAGGTCCGACGCAGCATAATGAGAGGCGAAGAGCGGGCCAGTGGTAGTCGTCGACGTGCGAAGTGGATGTGGTGGAGCGCAGCTGTATACGTCGGACGGTCCCCGCGGTCAGTTGGTATACACACCTGTCGTTTGTGACATTCGATACAGCGTCATCGAGTTTGCGCGCGTTATCGAGTTTGCAAACCCCAGCAAAGGGGGTGTCTGTTTTCCGTTAAGTTTGGCAGGTTCGAAAAACGAGCAGACGGAGGGGTGGCCTGCGACTGCACCGTAGCTGCACATTTCTATCGAGACCGAGCGATGACGTCGCGCTACATTGAGAACTTGTGGGTTTTACCGCCCCGTTTCTGCTCCGAATAAGGCTTGGATCGTTTTTGATACAGATCGTAATGTAACTACGTGACTACTGCAACGCGTGTCACGCGTTGTAAATCAGAGAGACCCTCGCGCTGATTCGTTCATGCGGACGTGGCTGGACGTCGCACAGCGCATTGAGGAGACTGCAGTCGGGCGTGGAGTTTCATGGTGGTCAAGTGGTGGCACTCGTGCCGCCGATTTGCCACGGCGACACAGGATAGAACTGAATTCTCGGCCGGGGTCCGGGATGGGCTATCTCACCAGGTGAGGACGTGCAATGGCATGCTTGGTTTGAGCGTCAGCACGATCGATGCCAAAGAGACGTAGGCACGGCGCTGCGCATGGGTCGGCCACAAGCGTCCATGGCGGCTACAGTAACGCAGGATCTGCACTACGGTCGTCGCCTACATCGCTGCACGTCGTGGGGGGGGGGCTCGGCACGACTGCAGCCAGTCACGGCCTGCGTCAAAAGATTGGAAGCAAACGCAGTGCCGGCTCGACCGTGAGGGACGAAATCAGGTGGGACAAGAGCGAGACCATTGCTTGGTCTGGTTTGGTGCTTGTGGACCAGTCAAAGCAAAACGGAGCAGCTGGGAGGTACCGGTTCGAAATTATCGCCCGGGTCGGCGCAGACCTGGGTTTTGTATGACTCACGCGGCCAGCCCGACCCAGACCCGGACTGGCGCAGCTTTTATGTGACGTCGTTCCCGTCGGAAGATCTACCCACCTCCAACCTGAGAAGCTCATTCCGCTTTTTGCTCGACAGAGGGACAGAGAGAGAACCGCGCGCGAGCAGAGCCACCGACGACGCCCCAGTGTGCCACGTGGCGCTGACGATGGCGCGAACGTGCGCGTGGTCCGCGCTGCTGTTGCTCGCGGTGCCGGCGAGCTGCGAGGCACTCATGTCCCTCTCCCACGTGCAAGGGCGCAAGCAACAGAACCTCACCGCGTTCCAGAAGCAGTGGATCGACCCTGACACGGACCCCGAGTTCTACACGATCCCCGTGCCCAATGGTCCGTACGATTTCGGCGGCAACGCTAGCTTCAATACCGAGTATGAGCTCATCTTCTCGGACGAATTCAACAACTCGAAACGTACGTTCGAAGCGGGCTTTGACTCCAAGTGGACGGCCGTGGACATTCGCGATACTACCAACATGGGGCAGCACTACTTTCTGCCGCAAGCCGTGCAGATTGACAAGGGCAATCTCATCATCACTACGACCAAGCCCAAACATCGCTACCGCGGTGCCAAGTACGTCAGTGGCAGTGCGCAGACGTGGAACAAGTTCTGCTACACCGGCGGGTACGTCGAAGTCCGAGCAATCTTGCCAGGCAAGTGGGGCATCCCCGGCACGTGGCCAGCTATCTGGATCATGGGCAACATTGGCCGTGCTCCGTTTCTAGGCTCTCAAGACGGCACATGGCCCTGGAGCTTTGACGTGTGCGCTCCGTACATTGAAAAGCTGGAGAAAGTCAAGCAGAAGATCAACGCCTGTGGCAATCTCACGGACAAGCACGATAAGAATTCGTACCCCGAACGGTACGGCCTCAATCCTTTCCAAGGCCGTGGAGCCACGGAAATTGACGTGATTGAAGCCCAGATTCGTGCTCGCGACGAGCCAGCATACATTTCGACGTCGCTGCAGATTCGTCCTAGTCTGCTGGACGATATGCGCCCTGGATCTGAGAACTTGCCCGGTCCTGGGCAGTGGTACCAAGGCCTGAAGTTCGGCCAGTTTACGCGTATCAACAGCGACTACTACGGCACACTGGGCCTCGACTCCATCTCTGCGCTGACACAGCTTGAATCCAATGCATTCAAGTCGTTCCACATATACCGCTTGGACTGGTCGCCCGGTCCGGAGGGTTACATTCGCTGGTGGATGGACAATGCTTTCTTGTTTGAGATTCCTGGATCTGCGTTGGACAAGTGGGTGGGCGATGTCCCTCCTCGCCGGATCCCAGTAGAGCCCAGTTACCTCATCCTGAGTACGGCCGTTTCCGAAAAGTTCTCTCCACCGTGCTCGGGTGAGATCTGTGACTCGTTGTGGCCCTCGAACTTTACGATCGACTACGTGCGTGTCTACCAGGGCAACCCGAACCGGTACACCTCGGTAGGATGCAACCCGGAGGCGTTTCCTACATCTGGTTGGATCTATGCCAATCCTGTGAATTATGGTCTACCGTGGTACGTTTCCCTACGCGTAGACATCGGTCTTCTGCACCTGTTTGCTCTGGTGAACGCGCTCCTGGGTCTTTTCATGGCATTTTGCGGGACGTCGCATCCAAAAGCAATGTCGGTATACGCTAGCTCGCTATGGCTCACTGCGTCGATCTACGGCGCTTTGAGCACTATCGCCCCTGCAGATTATGAGTGGGTCCAAACGGCAATTGCATGCATGTGCGGACTCGTACTTGGTGGTCTATGCTGTTTGGTGTATCCCGTGTCCTTGGGCGCGATTCTTGGACTGTACAGCGGCGTGGTGATCAGCCAGTTTGTTCCGCTGCTGTCGACACGAGTGATAACTGCAGTGCTAGTATGCGCTGGTATTGCACTGGGATGTGCACCGCGGATTGATACGAAGCACATCGTGATTCTATCGACGTCATGGCTTGGGAGTTTGGCGTTTTTGTTGTCGTTGTCGCTGTGGGTGAGTGAAGGCGATTTCGCTGAGAACGCATGGAATCTCGCCGGTTTCATCTTCAATGGCCACAAGCGCGACCACGTCGGTCTCTGCACCGAGCATTGCCTAGCAATGTATGGCCTGCTTGTCCTGCTTAGTACCGTGACTACGGTCTACGCATACTATCGCATGCGCGGTGTGTTTCTGCGCAACGACACGATCAAAGCGCGCAAGGCTAAGTTCCCGCCGGTGTCTGCGAGTTCAGATGCTCGGTCGTGGCGACCTGAAGACGACGACGTGTCGGGCATGGAAAAGGATATGATAAACTTCTTTTCGCCGTCCAAGCTACCACACAACATGCAACAGTTCAGTACCATCTTCCGTATTGCAGTCAACGTGCAGCGCTCGTTTGGTTTTCAGGTGGATAACTTCCGTAACCAGACGGAGCACATTGTGGTGCTGCTCACCAACAGCAGTCGCAAGAGCGGCAACCCGTATCGGAAGCTGCACGCTCTGGTGTTTTCCAACTACAACAAGTGGTGCTCCAAGCTCGTGATCAAGCCTTTGCACTGGAGTGAGCATCGGGCACCTCAAGGTGGTCTCACTAGCGTCGATGAGATTTCAGTGGACTTGTGTTTGTTCTTCTTTATCTGGGGCGAGGCGAGTAACTTGCGTCACTCTCCTGAGTTTGTGTGTTTCTTGTTTCACAAGATGAAGGAGGAGTTCCCATCTGCTCGTCACTCGGAACGTGAAGCAGGATACTTTTTGGACACAGTCGTGACACCTGTGTACGGCTTGTTGAAGTCCGAAATGACGTCCAAGTATGACCACGAGGACCGGCACAACTACGATGACTTCAACGAATTCTTCTGGTCGAGAGCGTGTCTGAAGTACGACTACAAGCACGAAGAGGTCATCGACATGTCGTCGCCGAACCCCAGCATGCATTTCAAGAAGAGGAAGCAGCAACGCGAAGGTCTGATAGGGCAGAGCGGCCTCGTCGGTCGTGGTGGACTCAACAGTGGCACGAAAAGCAGCAGCCGCTCAAACAGTCGCAAAAGCATCGCTGAAGGGTTTACAGAATCTGCGAAGACGTTTGTGGAAAAGCGGACGTGGCTGCTGCCACTGCGAGCATTCAACCGTATCTTCAACTTCCACGTGCTCTCGTTCCACTTTTTGGCAGCGCTCGCGCTCGTGAGCGAGCAAGAATGGGGCTTCACTGAATCGTGCAAGATTGTCTCGAGCACGTTCATTACACCATTTTTGCTGGACATTCTGAGGGATGGTCTCGATATTTTTGCCGTGTACCACGTGCACCAGAAGGCATCTTCGGCAGTGCGTAGCGTGCTCCGCATGCTTGTGCATCTGGCCGTGTTGGTGATATCTTCGATGCTATACTGGTGTGCATGGGCGTACGGCGATCCCTGGTGGCAGTCATATTACGTGGCTGTGCTGCTCTTCCACATTCCAAGCTTGCTCAATTGTGTCATGCAGGTCATGCCTGGCTTTACAAACTGGACGCGGCGCACACATTTCGGCCCGGTCGCTTTCATCCGTGACATTATGAGCCCCATGGACCGCTTGTACGTTGGTGACAACGTGCTGGACCCTGAGTCGATGAGTGTAGGCTACCAGATTTTCTGGATCTCTCAGCTATCTTGGAAGTTGTACTTCAGCTACAAGTTCGAGATTTCCCCACTCGTCGTGCCAAGTTTCTTGCTCTACGCCGATCACGTGGAAAATAACGTGAGCATGATCACAACTGCGTTCCTTATCTTCCTGAATTGGATGCCCTTCTTCCTGGTTTTCTGCGTGGACATAACGATCTGGAATTCGATCTGGATGGCCTTCACGGGCACGTTTGTAGGCTTCTCGTCACGTATCGGAGAGATCCGCAACTTTAGTCGCGTCCGCTCAGCTTTTGGTCGCGCCGTGGATGCGTTTAACGCCAAGGTGATCTCTCGAAACTCGAAAACAGGGCTTCAAATCTCTGAAGGCACCGGTACGCCCTATGGCTCGACGGCGGTGGGCCACGAGATGCTCGAGCGCGTTGCCGGTGGCGCCGACCCGACGTCCCGCATCTTGTCCCAGCGCAATACTTCCGTTCACGATGACGAGACTCCTCTGCTATCGTTTTCGCGCCGCAAACAGACGCCAATGGAGCGGCAAGCGGCTCGTCGACGCAAGTGGTATTCGTTCTCAGTGGTCTGGGATACGATCATTGACAGCATGCGCGCGGACGACTTGATTTCGAACAAGGAAAAAGCTGTTCTTCACTTTCGCCGTCTTGATGGGTACCAACGAGAGATTTATCTTCCGCAGTTTCAGCTGGCAGGCTGTTTCGAGAACTTCACGTCCTCCGTTCTTGACATCTACTCGTCTAATGACGGTAAGGTATCAGAGCGCGTTCTGCAAGACAAGTTGCTGGAAATTCTGAGCGAACAGCCGATGGTGGAAGAGTCGCTGGAAGAAATCTGGGAACTTGCGAACTGGGTGCTCATCAATGTGCTTGGCCCATGCCACGCCAACGATGTAAAGCACATCACGGGCGTGCTGAGCTCGTGGGCTGCTCGTGGCGTGTTCCGTGCGCTGGACCTGCAGAAGGTGGCTCCGTGCGGTCGTGCGCTCGCAGCGTTGGTGTCTCTTTTGAAGTCGAATGTCCGAGTGTGGAAGGAGAACGTCAAGATGATTCCGGTGCGCAAAGATCCTTCTGACTATGCATCCTACGAGTTCCCGCAGCAATCGAACTCGTATCGTCCTGCGTCATCAGGACTTACGAAATCAGCAAGTACGACGGGTCTGTCGTCACTCGGTCGCGATCCTCCTCGTCGCAGTCGTGGTTCCGGCGTTGCTCGCATTGCGCGCATGCAACAGCAGACACACAAGCCTGCTATGAACAACGGCAAGGCTGCGCACTCGATTCCTAGCGCGCACATCATGCAGATTCGTGAGCGTGTCCGCACCTTCCTCAACCTGGGAAAGGAGATGCTGGCTCGCGTTCCTGAACAGGACCCGGTACACGCTGAAAGCAAGGGTATCTCTGACCGTCTGACGTGGATCCTTACACAAGAACGCGGTTTTATGTGGGACGACGACTATACGGGCGAGCAAATTACGCTCACTGCGTTTGAATCCTACACGGACGTGGTACTATCGCACTTGCACGGACTTCTGACCTTGCAGAAAATCGAGTCCGAGCCGCAGTCGTACGATGCGCGTCGCCGGTTGCTGTTCTTTGTGAACTCGCTCTTCATGGATATGCCACTAGCCCCATTGCTCGAAGAGATGAAGTCATGGAGTGTCATAACGCCGTTTTATGCGGAGGATGTTTTGTATTCGAGAAAGGATCTTGAGAGCAAGCAGGACGGCCTTGATGTACACACCCTTCTGTTCCTTCAGACACTGTACAAGCGGGACTGGGAGAACTTCTTGGAGCGCGTAAAGCCTAAGAAGAACATTTGGAAGAATCCGGACACCGCCATTGAGTTGCGCATGTGGGCATCACTGCGCGGCCAGACACTTTCGCGTACCGTACAGGGCATGATGTACGGCGAAGCAGCTATCCGTTTGCTTGCCGATATCGAACAAGTTCCGCAACAGAAGCTGGAGGATCTGATCAATACCAAGTTCACGTACGTCGTGGCCTGCCAAATCTACGGCCGTCAGAAAAAGAACAACGATCCAAAGGCGAGTGACATCGAGTTTTTGCTGCACCGATTCCCGAATCTTCGTGTGGCGTACATTGACGAGGTCCGCGTGAACTATCAAAAGGAGCAATCGTACTTTTCCGTGCTCATCAAAGGTGGCGAAGAACTTGGCTCGGTGCATGAAGTGTACCGTGTACGGCTTCCAGGCAATCCGATATTGGGTGAGGGTAAACCTGAGAATCAAAACGCGGCTATCGTGTTCACTCGTGGTGAAAACTTGCAAACGATTGACATGAACCAGGATGGGTACCTCGAAGAAGGATTGAAGATGCGGAACTTGCTTGAAGAGTTTGACAAGGGTACTGAAGATCGGCCTTATACGATTGTGGGAATTCCGGAGCACATTTTTACAGGCAGCGTGAGTTCGTTGGCTAACTACATGGCGCTGCAAGAGACATCCTTCGTGACGCTGAGCCAGCGTACGCTGGCGCGTCCATTGCGAATGCGTTTGCACTACGGCCATCCGGACGTGTTCAACAAGCTCTTCTTCATCACGCGCGGTGGCATTAGCAAGGCGAGCAAAGGCATCAATCTTAGCGAAGACATCTTTGCTGGTTACAACAACTGTATGCGTGGTGGATGCGTGACGTTCCCGGAGTACACGAAGTGCGGCAAGGGACGTGATGTCGGCATGCAGCAGATCTACAAGTTCGAGGCGAAGCTGGCTCAAGGGGCAGCCGAGCAGTCGCTCTCGCGCGACGTGTATCGAATTGGCCAACGCCTCGACTTTTTTAAGCTGCTCTCCTTTTACTACAACCATGTAGGGTTCTACTTCTCGACGTCCGTGATCATCTGGACCGTTTACTTCCTGCTGTACTGCAACTTGCTACGCTCGTTGCTTTCTCTGGAGGGTGTCGGCGGACGCGAACCCGTACTATTGAGCACGCTGCAAATTATGCTGGGGTCTGTCGCGTTCTTCACGACTGCTCCGTTGCTGGCGACAATCTCCGTCGAGCGTGGTTTCAAAGCTGCGCTGAGCGAGATTTTCGTCCTGTTCGTGACTGGCGGTCCAATGTACTTTTTGTTCCACATTGGCACGAAGTGGTTTTACTTTGGACAGACGATTCTTGCAGGCGGTGCGAAATACCGTGCGACGGGCCGTGGATTCGTGACGAAACACTCGTCGTTCGATGAGCTGTACCGGTTCTATGCGAGCAGTCACTTGTACGCGGCCGTTGAAATTGCCGCCGGTCTGACCGTTTACTTCATTTTCACGATCGGCCACGAGTACTTCTCGATGACGTGGTCGCTGTGGCTCGTGTGTATATCGTGGTACTGGTCGCCGTTCTGGTTCAACCCTCTGTCGTTCGAGTGGTCTGACGTGATGGAAGATTTCCGCTTGTGGTTCAAGTGGATGCGCGGTGACGGTGGCAACCCCAATCAGTCGTGGGAGGCGTGGTTCAAAGAGGAAAATGCGTACTTTGCCACCATGCGACCGTGGGCAAAGGCGTGCGTTGCAATCAAGGGCGGGCTGTTCGCGCTGATTGCATTCTCCATATCATCGACAGACGACGAATACCACTCGATCCTTACGCAGTCCACGTGGCTCCCGCTGTCCATTTGCTGCTCGATGGCCGCGGTCTACCTCAGTGCCCAAGCAGTGTTTTTCACCTCATCTCGCTCGTTCGGGGAAAGTGGTCTTGTCCGCTTCCTGAAGCTCATTTTGATGCTTGTATTGGCCTCGAGCTTCATGCTCGCTTTCGTGTACGTGGACGGTATGTGGCAATGCTTCCTTAGCATGGGATACCTCGCGGCGGCAGTGGGCTGCTGGGCACTGATCTTCGTTGGCACCAACTCGCGCTTTGTTGGTACACTTTACTTTGTGCACGACGCTGCGCTGGGCCTTGTGTCCCTGAGCCTGATCGTGTTGCTCGCAGCACTGTACGTCCCGGGCAAGATTCAGACGTGGCTGCTGTACAACAACGCTCTAAGTCGTGGCGTAGTGATCGAGGACATCCTTCGAGCCAACTCGAGCAATGACGACCGCGACGATGACTTGTCGGTGCAGCAGATGCGCTCGGTGATCATCGAACAGCAGCGGTTCATCAACGTGTTGACTGCTAGCGGCAGTGAGACAGACATCCGTGACGCTGGGTCTCAGAAGAAAGAAGACCTGATGCACGCTATGAGTGACAGCACGCTCAACGCGGTGCTAAGGAACATGTCGGAGTCGGAGCTGAGTGCGCTGCAGGATTCGTCGAGCCGTTTGCAGGCCATTATGGCCGAGGAAGAGCGGAAGGTCGCGCAGCAGAGTCGGCAGCAGGAAGAGCAACGACTCGCTGCGGCAGGTATGAACCCGTCGCTGTCGCAAACACGTCGAGCTTTTTCTACCAACGACTTTTCTGCCATTCCAGCGAACGCGGCTCCGTTTGAATTGCCGACGCCTCATGCGCCGGATGGTAGTAGCACTCCCGACGGTGATGCTGCTAATTAACGGACTCATGTGTGCAGCCGCGTACGTGTCGTGTCTGAGGTGGACTGCAGAACCTAAGTGAGACCGCCCATTTACGGGCGCGTTTCACATGGAAATAGTAGACGTGTCTTTGTTCGTAGAGTTGTATTTCAGTTGGTTCTTCTTCTTCACACGAGAACAGAGCGCGACGGGCACGCGAGAACAGAGCGCGATGGGCATACGCTTCAACATATATCGTACTTCGCTGAAGTATACTACTGCACAAAGAGGGCCCCCGTTGCTGCCGTGAGGGCCTTCGGAGGTCCCCCTGGAGCGCCGGCCGCGTCTTAAATTTGTGACGCTGACGAGGGCGACTGAAGTGGTGTGCTGCTACTGTGAGTGACGACTCACTGGTCGGACTGTTTCTGCGTCTTGGGCTTCTTACCAAAGCCGCTAAGGAACTTCATGTTGGCACTCAATTTCTTCGTCAACGAGCTCTTCTGCAGTGGATCGGAGCTCGGTAGCACAGCTGCCTTGAAGTTGTCTGTCACCCCGGGTGCACAATCGCAGCCCTCCAGCTTCTTCGCAATATCTTCAATATTCTTCTCCGAGACAGACCGGATGATCTCCAGATCTTCGACCAACTGCGACGAAGATACGTGCGAGTAGATCTTGCGGCTATCAGAAGCGAAGCATTCGTCGATATCTTGACTTGGTGACATCGCCAAGTTGGCGAAAAGCTGCTGGATGGCTGGAGAGTTCTTCTCGATGAATGGATTGAGAGCCCTAAAAGACAGTGAGGCGCCAGCGAATAGAGTCAGCAAGCGGAAAGCAGAAACATACATCTCTCGTGCGTCACGTACTCGAATTGAGGCTCGCGGTCTCCAAATTTCACGCCAGTCGCTGTTTTGAACAGCAGCTTTGTGACCAGCACGAGTACACGGCGCGTCTCAGGCGGAGGCAGCAGCTTCGTTAGTCCGTACAAATGCGGGGTGGTAATGGCTGGGCAAACGAAGCGGAGGAAGAGAAACCCTCCGATCACGGACTATAAGAGCGAAAGCAAGCACCGTCAAATCAGCATTCGTCGTCTTTCCTTCCCTGCTACAGCCGTTGATTAGGCGCGCACTTACCCGAGTCAACGTCGATGCATCCTCCGCCTCTACACCTTCTTTTGAACCATCAAAACGACTGATAACCACCGAGTTCAAATGGGAGCAAATGTGGAAATATGAAGACGGGATCTGCACAATAGAGGACACACACAATGCTCAGTCATCTCAACAACGATACAGGGAACTCGACGGCCAAGTACGTACGCAGTGGGTGTTCGTCATGATCGAGTCAATGATATTTTGACACGCCCTCATCAAGTTCGCGGCATTAGAACCCGCTTGTGCCTCATCTTGCAGCGACTCCTCCTTATGCGGGTTCAGCTCCATGTCGGCAATCTTCAACTTAAATATCTGGCGGATCGGATCGGATAAAGCTAGACGGATGAACTTCGACCCGATCGCCTTACTGTACGTGGAAACAAACCTGCTCGCATAGTCATCCGAGCGGAAGAGCGTTGCCACGTTAATGACAGAAGCTACCTCGATCTCGATTGCCCAACGGATGAGGTGGCTAAGGCGGTTGTGGCTTCCAAAGATGCGGAGGAAAGGAGATAACAAACGCATCTTGTCTTCACGCCCCGCGCTCTGAAGGATCGAAGCAACAACTGACATCGTGTCCTCGACGACCAATGACGAAATGTCCTTCGGTAAATGCGGCAAATGAGCTCGGTCGGAGTCTCCGCTGAAGTAGTCACGCGCTGAACGAGCATGAGAAAAGAGACTGCGGATCCTCGGACTCGTTCCGCTGGGCAACCCGTCCGCGGGAGTCTCCATTCGTAAGGCACGCTGCCTATGATTCTTCTCAAGACCGTGGACATCCCTTGGCGACTCGACGTCACTCTCTTTGGCAGCGACTTCTTCATTGATGACTGACTGCTCCGAAACACACGACTGATCCGGCCGAGTGGACACAATGAAGTCTTTCATGACTTGGTGAACTGAGTCCAGGAAGCCACTCGCCTCCAAAAACTGGCTGTCCGACTATACAGTAGAAGCGCGCAATTAGCAATAACACGTACTTGCATAGAAAAGTGCACGGCTTACCGCGTCAAACTCGGACAGACGCTCAATCTCGCCATCCTCGTCTTCATCAAAGAAAAGATCATCTTGTGTAATGGAGAAAATGCTATCGTCGCTGCCGTTCGAGTTGATCTGATCCAGGCCAAAGTCCGTGACGCCTGCAGTTCAACAACAAAACACATGGACACACCTGATTCAGCATCAATCCGTGTCACATGTACTAACGACGGCCATACCGGAAAAAGAACCTTGCGAATCAAGGAGTGGTGATGAACTTGAAGTCGATGTTGACGTAACCTGGTCAGCAACGCCATCACAGAGCATAACCTGTCAGTTCGAAATGCTTCAGCGGTCTGTGGATCGACACAACATATATCACCTTTGACGGCTTAGGATCCGCTCGAAACGAAGACTGCAAGCTGCGAGCAATCTCAGCGAGCTCCATCGCTTGCTGCTGCAAGAAGTCGTTTCCAGCACCAGCATTCGAATCAAGCATGCCAGCACCACTATGTGATCCTATGAAACTGGAGGCTAGCGAGCCGTCGTCGCTGCCGTCATCCTTATTCAAGTTACGCGCCATCTCGACCAGCTCCGCTGCTTGCTGCTGGATCGATTCATTTTCTGCTGCTTGCTGCTGGAGTGATTCCGTTTCCGCTGCGCCATGGCAATGCATCGATGCTACATCCAACGAGAACATCGAAAAAGCTGCAGACATAGGCTTCGCCGCAGCCGACACAGCCTCTTCCTGAGGCAACGTCAACGTAGGCGACTTCCTCGAGAATGAAAGCGAGTCGTCACGAGTTGGACTCGCTGACCCAGTTTGTAATTGAGCTGGGTCAGCCTCAGCAGCCAATTTGTCCTTGTGACCTGAACACGTCTCCGGTAGCTCATCCACGATTTTGCAAATCTGAGTATCTTCCTTTCCATCTCCTTGCTTATCATCAGACACACAATCGTTAGCGCTCTCGTCGTCGCCCTCGTTCCCGTCTTCCTCGGTCGACGACGTATCCCTATCGTCAGAGAGCACGTCAGATATCGCCGAAGGGCGAGATCCCTTGCACGATTCAATCGGAACATCGTTCAGCATCGCGTACACATCCAGCTCGTTTTCATCATCGTCACTCTGTCCAGCTCGTTCCGGTTGTGCAGTGTCCGCTTCGCCTCGACGACGCTCGTCGACGTCAGAGTGTCTCGTATCGGTCGCTTCCGTCTGTCTTCGACCCTCGTGTCCTCTCTCCTTGCTACCCCCTTTCTGCCCCGCACGTTCATACGTCTTTAGCCGTTCCCGTAGCTCGTTGATCTCATACCGCTGCTTCTCCACCATCCGCAGCGCCTCGTGCAGTCGCTCTGCCTGGTCTCGCTCGTCTTCAACAATCAGTTTCTTCGGCCACCGTCCACACGACGAGGCCGTCCGAATGCGCGGCGAAACCTGCCCCGTCGTTCCTGTCGACGCCGAGCTCGCCGACCGCACGAGTCTCCGTGCCAACGCCAGTGCAGCTTTTCCGTCCATGTTGGTGGTCGTTGCGACCAAACTCCGTCGCTTCCCACCTGCCGCGCGCCGGAGCTGCTCGATCCACTCGACGCGCGCGTCGTGCGACGGCGCGCGAAACAGCAGCACACGTCCACTGCAGGACGTGACTTTCCAGCACGGCCCGCACTCGTCGCCTCCACGATGGCCATCGCCCTGTCGAAAGATGCGGTCCACGGCCTTCACGTCGGCATTCACGAGCGGCACAACGCCCTGCGGCCAATCGCTTCGGTCGGCAAAGTAAAACAGCGCGTGCGCGTAAATGCCGACGAAAAACGGCTCCCACGGCGACTCAAAGCGTCGGCCCTTCTTGTGCAGCAGCCGCAGCGGCGTGCGCGCCTCGAGCTCGAGCCCCGTGAGCAGCAGCTCGGGGCACTGTACGTGCTCGGGCCGCTCGAACGGCAGTGCAGCAACGGCCTCTGCGCTCTCGTCGCAGGCGGCCACGAGCTGCATCGAGAGCCGGCGAGTGGACGCGCGGCAGCTGTCGCGGAGTGGCTGGACACACGTCGTGGGCGAGCGCAGCGCAGCGGCCATGGGGCAACGGGGACGGCCGCAGCGACGTCAGGACCGCAGCGAGAGAGGACTTGCGCGGTGGGGGCGTACGGGCGCGGCCGGTTGTCGTGTGGGGCGTCCGGTTGTCGTGTAGTCTGTCGGTCGGTCGGTCGGTCGATTCGCCGGTCGGTCGGTTCGTCGGTTGGGAAGACGGGCGCAGTGTGTTGCTGTCGGCAGACGGGACGGACGGACGGACACGAACGAACGAACGAGTGAGTGTTCAAAAGTCGTCGTGCGCAACGAAACGGGCGCATGGAACGATCGTCAGACGGGACGGCCGGCGCGAGCGAGCGAGTGAGTGAGTGAGTGACAGAGAGAGAGACATTGAGTAGTGACAGGTGCCGTGCTCTTTGGTGGTCCCTGCGAGAAGTGGTCCTTTCGTACGTGATAGCCTCTGGTAGGTGGTGGGGTGCTAGATGGGTAAGGTGGGTAAGTGGGTTGCTTGAGCAAGTGGGTCGTGAAGTGCGTCTTTGAGGCTCGTTTGATGACTGCTGCTGTGCTGGTGGTGGTTGTTCTCGGTGTATGGCCGGAAGGAGCGAGATGGACTTTATCGACGACTTTGGTTTGCTGTGTTATGTCCAGGCGCGTGACTTGTTGGTGGGGTGGTGCTGGGTGTGGGTCTACGCTACGATCGTCGTTGATAACGCGTGTGGTCGGGTGGGGGTGTAAGGGTTGATCGGGTGTCGTGTGCGTTGCAAAGTAAGGCCGCGGAGAACTCTGTCTACGTACAGCCCGGTGATTATGTAGGATACATTGGGCAAAGAGCAGGCACCACGTAAGACGTTACGTTGGTCTTTCGGTCCTGGTGAACCTTTCCACGACGGGTGCCACATTTCCATGAGTTCACTGCCTTCTTCGTCATCTCTGCCTTTTGCCCCTCGTCCAAGGATTCGGCGTCGGCGCGAGCGATGTGACACGAAACTCCGGTATCGACATGGACGTCCGGACACGTTTATGCTCAGCTCTCAGTCGTTGTTGTAATTTGTTGTTCGTCTTCTCAATCTTGTTGGGACCGTCTGCGCTGCTCGCCATCTCCGTAGCGGTTGGCAAAACAAGACACTTTGTGTACGTCCGTGTATGGTTGGAGCGATCGAAAATGGCAGTGATCAAGACTCGGTCCAGGTTGGTACCAATCAATGCATGGAAACAAGTCGGTCAGCTTTGTATATATCGCTGACGTCCCCACCCGCGTCACGATCGACCGCATTCTACAGATATTGTAGCGGTAGTGATGCAGCTCCCATATCGAGTGGCTTACCGTCATCCATCGGCTGCATCACGTCTGTCGCATCTTGTGAGAAGGGCTGCACCTTGATATGGTGAAGCTGGAAGTCATCTGTGGCTTGTGACGCAGCTTTGTCGTCTCAACGAGACGTTGTCAAGCCACTGCATAACGACGGCTTTCACGATAGATTCGAACGACATGGAAAGCGTAAGGAACGTGTCTCGCGCCTTCGGATACGTGTCGGGCTCACTGAGGGGCCTGCGCGTAAAGCACCTTGTCAGTAGCAGTCTGAAGATCTGCATTCTCGTAATGGATTTCTGCCTTGTTTTTCGAGTGGTTTTGACTCGGTGGAGTGAGCGGTGACGTTCCTTTCATTCGCTTGTGGTCGTCAACTTTTTAATCAATCGATTGACTGTCACGCACTCACACAAAGACTACCCCCACCGAACAACCTGATAAGTGTTTGCCTTCGCGACGTCAATGAAATCTGCATCTGCGAAATCCATAGCTTATCAGAGGGAGAGCACAGCGGATCGATGGATAGCCGAACTGACAACGGACCGATTGACTGACACGCAGATAGGCGGCCCACACGACTTGACGCTAAACCTCTATAATCCCATGAGCCACACCATCCGTGTCGTGTTGACGTCAAATGGGCGTGTCGCGCGACTTGGACGCGTTCCTAATGCTGCCCTGCCCTCGAGTCCACGATCTCGCTAGACTGCGTGTTTGCACGCGATTAAAGACCCCATTACAACACTCGCAGCGACGGCAGTGCTCCTGACTCCCACCCCGGTTTGCTTTAAGTGGACCCACACCACCGACTGGTTCGTCGAATTGTAGTAGTGGTAGTCGCTGCTGCTCGTCCCTCTCTCGTCCTTCGATGAGGGTACGCGTCATCGAGTGCACCTTTGCCCTCAAGTATGGAGCACGAGCAGCACACGGTCCCGCGTTCGTGTCTGCGTTGCAGCATTCCAAGCCCATTCCTCACGTCTCGTGCAGTAGATTTGACCTCGTGGACGTTTCCAAGCCCAAGTGGTAAGGACGCTACTGCTTTTGCTGCTGCCTCGAACGAAAGTGCGAAAAGAGCCAGACCCGCGCGGGACAGTGCGTTCGTGCACGACACGGACAGTCCATGAACAACGTCACGTCGACAGCTCGTTTGCATCTCGGTGGAGTCCGTCGTGCGCCGATCGTGACCGCCGCTTTCGATGCAAAAGCGGCTTTCGTGGCGCTTCACATGTGGTCGACGTTGACCGGACGTCTTACCGACGAAGAAGTGCCAATCGACAATGGCGCAGTTTGCCTTTGCGTGTGTCGTTGACATAACACAGCGCCGATGGCGTTCACGTTGTTGGCTGAGTATGGTGGGAGTGGCCACAAAAGTGGCACATGTTGAGACGTCTTCGCAGAGGGCGTCGGCGGATATGCGACCGACTGCTCCGTTATCGCCAAGCGGAAACTCGAGCTCACGTGTTCTCTGCCATTGCGACTCGCATGTGGTGTATTCGCGCCGCGGCGTGGCGAAACTTGCGCATGGTAACACGGACGTAAAAACACGCATAAACGCACGTATAAAAGCATGAGAGCGCTGAAACGCGCGTTTTGGCGCGGTATGGGAGCGCGTGACGAATGTGGGACGGTACGGCCGCTTTTCATTGAGAATAGAGCTGGTTTCTACCGGTAATTAGTAAGAGAGCCAGACTCCATTCTTCTTGTCGGCAGCAGCTGTTTGCTCAGCTATCCCGAAACAGAACAATTCCGCAGATCGACGCATGGCTTACCATCAGCTTCAACTTGTGCAGTCAAACATGCGCTCGTTCGACATGACCCACGACATTCACATATACTGATCCTTTCCACGCGCTTTGCTGTCCTTCGTTCTGACATCGTATGTACTCATTCTGACAAGCGAAAGCGGTAGGTCAAGACGAAAGCAAAAGTTACGAGTCTGACGCGTCCCGTTCAGATATTCCCTCACTTGCACACAGCGCAATGTAGTGGTCGATGTAGTCGCATCGCAACAGCTTTCCCATGCCTGAATATTAGCAGCTAGTCTCAACTGTTGTCACGCGGTAGCTGTGATCGAAATGGTGCAGTCCTATCTGATCAAAAGCAGTCGTTTGTACTATGCTGAGCAAAGTGCCATCGCTGATGTCGGCCGTCGTTGCTAAGACAGCAACACGCAGCTTCCAACCCATCGCTTCCTACGACGCAGTTGAAGTTGCAACAGCCGGCGCGGCAGCACCCTGACTTCGCGAGACGTATACCGATGTGCTCCAACGTCAAAGGCAAAAACGTAAAGGACACAGGTGAGGACTGCCGGAAGGATATTCTCGACCTCATGCGTCAATGGATACGATGAGACCGTCAGGTACAACAGCACAAGGGAAGGGAGTCCAGTCGTCAACGTTCAGATCATTGCGTTCTTACGAAGCGTTCACCTGTCTCTCTGGGGATCCATCCGCCACGGCGTCCGTAATTGTTCAGTCCAAATGTGTTTTGTAGTGGGACAGTTCACTGTTTTATTGCATCGATTTGCAATTGACCTGTCGCTTCATGGCAACTTGGATCTGTTCAGCCATTGTTTCGTTCGACATCGTCTGCAGCGTGAACGAGCTCGACTTCAGTGTAGCTTGCAGTTCAGTGGAGTCAGAGGCCGTGAAGACAGGTATACCGAAAAACGCTCGCGCGACTACTTTTCTTCTGTGCACTGTAACACGTGACTGTCTTACTCAATTGCGTTTGCAAACGGATCAAGGGTCTCAGCTCGGAATCGGTGTATGTATGGTTGACGGTAGATAAGGTTTGCAACACATTGCTTGATCGCGCCTTCACTGGTACTGCGCGTGTCATCATTGGAGGCAGCTCTCATCCTTACTGAAGGTGGGGTCAATGATCTTCGCTTTCTTATCCGATGCAATAATGACTTGCGCGCCTCCTTGGACCTGACAGATAGATTCCGAGTACTAGCCGTTTCATTCCATACCTTCGGCTTGGCAATCACGTCATCGCTGTTTGTCGGAAGCACAACCGACCCATCATGTAGGCTGTGTTTATGGTCCGACAGTCTTTGCCTTGTCGTGGCGCAACGTTTCTTTGTTGTGCCAGCAGAGACTCAGAGCAGCTTGTAAAGCTGAACATGCAGTCGGCAATGTATTCGCGTTTGGTCGTGTGGTTGTCTGAGCCACATGCACTTGGAACCATCACAGTGCGCATGGAGAAAGCTAGAATCGACTTCCTTGAGACTCGAGCTTGTACAAGCGCGTGACTCAGGGATTCGTCAATCGGGAACACTCATACAGATGATGTGCTAGTACAGGAGTCTGCTCAAGTCCGATGTACATGTACTAACTATTCGCTTGCTACTTAGCATGTCATGCAGTTGGTCTCTGAAGTGAAGCACTGTCGATGACCTGCTGACGGGTCTTTGCTTTGTCAGTTTGCGTGATAGTGGCAGTGTGCACAAACGAGCAACAGGAGCCAGCTCGAAACACTCTGTACCTGACCGATTGCGAGAAGAAAAGAATGGAGAAGACATGTATCTGTAGTGTGTAGGCGCTTGATGCGCGATAGTTGGCACAGTCAAATGGTGCTGATCTGACGGTAGAGTAGTTGCACCCATGCACTCTTACTGCACTGTCAACACTGGTTGAACCCAAGAAGCCAAAAACCCGACCCACTCACGGATCGAATTGCCTGGCCACTTGCCAATTTGACAGACCGTCCTTTTTTGCGGATAGAAAAAGTGAAACGCAAGTGCTTTATTCAGCGCCGAAAAGCAAGTGCTTTTCTCAAGGCACTTTTGCGATCTACGCACGCGGGGATAACCATATCTGAATTGCGGTCGTGCACATCATCTTTTTGTGAGACCCAAAGAGGCAAGGCACAACATCCAATTCGCACCAATCGTAATCGATCAAAGCTTGGCAATTTTGCTTTTTCTGCTCTCGTCGTACCCGTGACGACAAAAACTCGATCCAGAGAGTGTCAACGCCCAAAGTAGTCGACGTGGACCCCAAAATACGCGGTTCGGTTCAAGCCGCCGCGCTGGAGTAGCTCGCCATACATCTTCGCAGAGGAAGCTGAACCGGTCCCGCGCGTCGCGCGATGCAACAAAAGAGCTCGACAAGCTATTCTGTGGCCTCTGAGCGATTGGTTCTCCATTCGGCCTTTGAGCAGCAGCCCAGATCAGCAGCATCTTACTCCCGTCTCGCACGCAGCAGTCATGGTACGCCTTCCATAGCGCTCTGCATAGCACGAGAGGTGCGCGTGTGGCCGGTCCCGTGTGCGACGCAAGAGGACAGAAGCGGGGGATCAGGAGTACCCCGCACGGGTCGCTACGTCACACCCGAGCGGAAGACAGCTGCAAATGGGACAACCGATCCCCCTCCTCTCTCTCTCTCTCTCTCTGCTGTGCCTTTGTCACTAATGCGTAACGCTCGTCTGAGCGCGTGCACCAGCTGTAGAGTTGTACTACTTGACGCCATTGACCCTTTTGCTTGTGTACTGACTGTGGGTGTACGGGTGAACAGGCCAGCAAGTACCAGAACTTTTTCGCCGCCCTCGACTCGGATGAAGAGGACGCGCCGCGCGTGAGCAAGAAGGCGACGCCGCCGTCGTCGGTCCCTGTGGCGCTGAACAAGCCTGCTGCGGGCAACAAGAAGGCTGGCAACAAGAAGCCCTTTGACTCGGACAAGAAGGAGGGCCGCGGACCCCGTGAGGGTGGCCAGGCGCCTCGTGAGCGTCGTGAAGGCGGGGAACGTCGTGAAGGCGGGGAACGTCGTGAAGGCGGTCGAGCTCCTCGGGAGCGCGGTGACCGTGGCCGTGGCAGCCGAGGCCCTCGCCGCGACTTTGAGCGTCGCAGCGGCACTGGTCGCGGCAAAGATGCGATCAAGCAGGGCGGTGGTGCGCACAACTGGGGCAACAAGGCCGACCCGAACGAGCAGCTGGCGGAGGCTGCTGCCCAGGAGGGTGCCAAGCCCCCCACGTCGGACGAGGAAGTTGCTGCTGGAGAGGAGGCTGCGCCCGAAGAGGAAGAAGAAGAGGAGGAGGTCCAGCTCACCTATGACGAATACCTCGCCAAGCAAAAGGAGTCCCGCTCGGGCGAGCTCTTTGCTGAGGTCGAGGTTCGCCAGGTCACGAACGAGTTCTCGAGCGCGGTGCTGATCACCAAGGACGGCAAGACGCCGGATTTTATGGACTCGCAGTACGAGAAGGTGTACAGCAAGAAAACCTCTGGCCGCAAGAAACAGCTCATTACGGACGTGGGCTTCCGCACGGAGAAGCCGGAGCGCTTTTCGCGTGACTTTGACTCGTCGCGCGGCGGACGCGGTGGTCGCGGCGGTCGAGGTGGTCGTGGCAGTGGCCGTGCGGGTGGGCGTAGCAATGGCCGTGGTGGCAACGTTCCGAACGTGACGGACATGAGCGCGTTTCCCAGCCTTGGCTAGGGCCTGCGACTCGACCGACCAGCCGGATCTTGCGCCTGGGCGCGCCAGCGACATGATGAGTGAGATCTTCCAAAAGAGGGCTTCTCGAGAACTGGTTGGCAATCTCTTTTTCTCCTTTTCCTTCGACGAACGATCCACCGAATAGGGCTCTGCGCGGCTGGTGTCTGCCTGCTGTGTGTATGTACCCTTGTGCAGGTAGCCAGCCGTCGTGCGGAAAGTTAGAGAATATTTTGTTAGCGTGAGCTGGGTCTTCTCCTTGGTATGTCTATTATTCAATGCAGCAGGCTGGGTCTTAAGCGAGCAAAATACCTGTGTTACGCAATGGCGTGAGCGGAATGAAGTGATCATCGGTCGGTCGGTCGGTCAGTCCTGTTGCATCTCTTCCTTATAGTCATCAGCCCACGCGGTCTGCACATTAGGATGGTACCATGACTTGTCCTATGACAAAAGGATCTTCCCCGGTAGTTAGTAATCGCCCGCGCTCAAACTCGCCTACCTTGAACGTGTGCCTCGCCTCAGCGGTGTGCTCGTTTTCTCCGTCGTTCCCGCTCTCCTCGTCGTCCTGCTCAGAGCAGAATATGCCTCGACCAGATGGAAAACCATCAACCCACGTACCAATGAACTTTCGGCCATCGGGCGACGACCACGATCCGTAGCCTTGAACTTCTCCCTTGCACCACTCGCCTTCATAGACTTCTCCGGAAGCAAAACTCAGCGTACCAACACCGCTTCGCTCACCAGCTTTGTAGTTCCCAGTATACACGCTTCCACAAGTAAGGTAGTGCACGCCCTGGCCATTGAGCTCGCCACTGCGCCACGTTCCGTGCAAGGACCCACCTGCCGCCACATACACACCTTTGCCGTGCATCCTGCCTTCATGCCACGTGCCTTCGTGCGAATCGCCGTCTGCCCATTCGTACTTGCCGAACCCCTCGCGTTCACCCTTGACAAAATGGCCTCCGTACTTGCCGCCAGAGCTATACACCTTCACGCCCCACCCGCTCACCTGATTCTGCCTCCAGACGCCGTCAACCATTTCTCCTGACGAGCATACCTTCTTGCCTCTGCCATGCATCATTCCCCTCTTCCATTCACCTGGGTGAGCACCATCGTGAACGCACTTCAGCTACCCGAAAGGCCGCGTGCATGCACACAACATCTCGTTCGACGGCTTGCTTCTCACCATTGTACCAATCGCCGTTTTTCCAAAAGAACGTGCCAGTCCCGTGCATCTGCGAGCCATCAACACGCACATGCGATCAGTATGCAAAAGCGCTGGCATCCAGGACTCACACACGTGGTTTTGTCTGCATCATGCACTACTACCTTGCCGACTCGCCAATTGCCCACGTACTTGTCACCATTCGCCCACAAGTACGTCCCTGTTCCATGGCGATGGTTCTTACGATACATGCCCTCATGGCAATCCCCCGTTTTCGCATACAGCTGCATGCCAAATCTGTCGGTACAGCAGCCCACACACAGGGGCCAAAGCCCAATTAGCATTGCGCCCCTCTCTTCCTCCTCCTCAGGTCCAATCCATAGCCGCAATCGTGCACCCTTCAAAGTCGCCGTGCACCCAACCGCCCTCTGAAGAATTCCCCGATTGCATCACGTAGACGCCCGTTCCATGTCGTCGTTTTTCGTCGTCGATACCGCCTTCAAAGCGACTGCCGTCTACGTACTGGATCACAGCAGCACCGCGCGCTTTTTTCCAGGAAATTGACTGAATCTCCGGCTGACGGCGATCGGTTGCGCCAGACAGAGTGTACGTCTCCGACTGAGGCGTCCGCTCGTGTACCGTCACGCGGTCCATAGCACGCGAGTCGACACGGTCAGCAGTGCGAGTCCCTCGCCGTCGCCCTCGATTCCCCATGGCCGCTCCGCGTCAAAGGGCACAGAAGTGCATCGCAGACGCTTTTGCAGCCACAGTCCTTCCGTGATTGGTCAAAAGTCGAGACAGTGACCAGAAGACTTGTCACCCGCGACTTGGGTTTGTTTGTACCCCATGCCAAGTCGCAACGTGACGACGTCACTGCGCGACTTCTTGACGCTCGTGTGGTGGCACATGTGCCACTTTGTCGCCTATTATGTGCGCGTGCGGCGTCTACGACCTTCCAATCAGTTCTTTCACAAAGTGGTCGTCATCGGGGACGACTTTGCAGCAGGTATTGGCGACGACCTCCGGCTCGGAAGTGCTGGTGGAGGCATTGCCAAGTACCTCGAGACGATTGTTGCGTCGGACAACAAGGCAAGGCGACTAGGAGGACGCGGTACCATATGTACTGCTGTGGTTGTAGTAGCGCAACTTCCGTTGTCAGGCTGTCGGAGCTCCTCGTGCTTGAGCTGCTGACACGAGGTCGGTCTTGTTTTGTTTGTCGACACCACAGGTTCATCATACTTGGGCTGTCGTCAATGCAGGAGTGCCTGGATCCACGACGGCCGACTGGCTCGTGTCTTCGCCCAAGAAGGTCTGTGATGCTCTGCTAGTCGATCTACGACTCGACCAGTTCGACGTGATCGTATACGGAGATGGAACTGACGAGTTTGATGCGGTGGCGTAGTACTTTGAAAACGTATTCACGTCGAGAGCCACGAGCGACGCGTCCATCGTGATCATCCTCCTCGGATCTGCCGAGATCAGGTGAGCAGCAAAAGAGATGGGGCAAAGGGCGTCGCAATCGTCTGACACTTGATGCTCTGCTATCACTGCGGATACGTGAGCGTAGAAAACACTCTGCTGCTGTTGGGTCCGAGATGTACCGCAATCTCGTGGCGATTTGCGACACGTTGCGGAAAAAGAGCAAGCAAGTGTGCCTCGCTACGATTGCAAGCGCTTGTCCACTCGACACTGAAATGGACAACACCAGCTCGGCTGTCAACACGGCACTGGAGCAATTTTGCAACAGGTACGACAAGTGTGGATGCAGCGAGTTGGCTCTTGAACATGTGACCAACGAACAACTGGGACGTGAACGGCAGCACATCGACGGAAGCGGCACCCGTTGTTCTGGGGCCTCGGCTCGATACGTATGCGTTTCGTCGCGAGAGCGCGCTTTCGTTCGACAAGTATCACTTCAACTCGCAGGTGCGGACGTAGTGCAGAGACTCTGAGTGATCAGTCTGGCGCGACACAAGATGGCTGACCACTGTCACGATTTGCCCTGTAGTCATACCGACAGCTAGCTTACAACACGGCGGACTTCTTGATCCCCATGATGACGGCTGTGGAATGGACCATCTGGAAAGACCAGCCCAGCCGCGTTTCCTACGACAAGACCTTGTACGACTAGAGCTCCGTCTCGCGCAATGGCTTTTCGCAGCGGACTCGTCTCGTAGCTCGCTGTTGTACGGGCTACCGCCTGCCGTTCGCGCGCAGAGTTGTGTCGGCTACTTCCGCAAGCGTGCTTTGGCATTCGCATCCATCCACCGTCCAGATAAGTTAAACAGTAACACCTCAGGCAAACATGCGATGTTTCTTTTCTTTCGATTGGGTAGTGAGCTGTCGCCTTCGTTCCTCCCGAAGTAATGTGAACTGCTCGTCGCTCCAGCAGCGTTCACAAACCATCCACTTACTCCTCTCTCTCCCATGTCGTCCATTCGTCTACATGCTCATGTCCCAGTTGTCCATGACGACAACGTTTCCCACCTGCTTAGGTTTCCATGGTCGTGTCGAAAGCTGCTTCCGTCTTGGCAGCCTCGTTGACACTTGTCGGCTTAGCAGCCCAGTACGCCTCCATCTGGCGGTCCAACTGGACGGCCTTGGGATCCGGGCCTTTGCCAGCTTCATGCCAGTACTCGTCCATGTCCATGTCGAGATCTTCTCCCGACGGAAGTTTGCCCTTCACGCCTCCACGTCCACCCCGACCGCCGCGACCTCCTCGTCCTCCGCGACCTCCACGGCCCGCGCCTCTTCCTCCATGTACCTCGGCAGGTCCATGCTTTTGCTTGGCCTGGACTCCTTTGATCTTTGACTCCTGGGGCGGGAGTTCCTTTCGGTGCTTACTGATGACCTGCTGGCGTTTGCTGCGGTTGTTCTGGCTGACCTGCTGCAGCTTCTTCTTCTGCTGCTGCTGGCGCTGCGCCACCTGCTTCACGGGACCTTTGCCCTCTGCCTTGACCTTCTTTCTTCCGTTGGTCACGCGCAGTACCGGCTGCGTCTTGCCTTTCTTCAGCGGCATCTTGACGACCGCCACCTGGTGCTGCTGTTTCTTCACCGCCCGTGGCGCCGGCTCGTCGGCCAGGTGCGTGAAGCGGCTGGACAGTGGAACCGACGAGACGCCAATCACCGGGTGCGGCGCCTTCTTCCTGCTCTGTTGCGGCTGGTCCACCTTGCGCTGGCTGCGCACGGACGTGCGAGGAGCTCCGGCGCGGCGGTACATGTTTCGTTGCGGCGGCTTTTGCACTACTACTGGCCCAGTGGTGGGGAGGGCGACTTACGTTGCTCGGAGGAAATGTTGCACGAAAGAAATGTTGCGCCGAGCGCAACCTACGCCGACCCCACGAAACACAGCAGCGACTTGATAGCGTTATGGCGGCTCTCGAGACGGCGCTCGCGAGCCAAGTGCAGCGCTATCTGGACGCCAACGTGTACGACAATGCACGTTTTCTAGCCGAGCGACTTGTTGCTCATGTGAGTAGCGCGTTATGATGGACTCAGAGGCACTGGAAGCGGCGGCACCGCTCCGTTTCGTTTGGATTAAACAGGTAAACCTTTGTCACTGACTGTTGCTGCGGCTCTGTGGACAGCGCCCGAGCGAGAGCAACGCGCTGGTACTTGCCACATGCTACTACCGAAACGGTCAAGCAGCTCGCGCAGCAGCCGTGCTGAGCGGTGCAACGAGGCCGGAGAATCGCTACTTGCTTGCTTGCTGCTGCTTTCAGCTGGGCCGGTTGGTAGAGGCCGAGAGCGCGCTGCTGGGGGGCGAGGACCACCATATTGATGACGAGGAAGCGATCAGAAATGTGCCGAAAGGAGCTGCTGGATTGTATCTATTGGGAAAGGTCTGCAGACGCGGAAACAGGAAGCAGCAGGCTGTGGCGTGTTTTGTAAAGAGGTGCTGTTTGCTGGCGTTTTTGTATCAGATGCAGTGGTGGTGTGGTCACCTCAGACTGGTTGATTGGTATGTTTGTGTATGCTGTCTAGTCTGGAGATCGATCCGTGCTTGTGGGTGGCGTACGAGCAACTTTGTGAGCTCGGCGCTAACCTTGAGGCTTCTCGGTTTTTCGGTGCAGCCAACTGCTTCAATGGTACCGCAGGAAGAGCAGATAAGGAGTTTCAGTACAGGATAGAGGGCCATGGTGAGGACGTGAAGCCTGTACGACGTTTTGACGACAAGGAGGGAGGGTCTCAGCACAACATTGAGAACCGACCAACTGACGCAACGACATTTGCAGCAACGGAACTACGTCCACGCATTCATCTTCGTACGCCTCAAAGCACAGTGGCATCAACAGCTCGGTCATCGAGACCTCTGGCTCACAAGACGCCAAATAGGAGCCGCAACGTGCATACGACGGTGGTCATGAAGGACACACACGTAGGTAAAGGCATCAAAATCCCTGCGCGACAGAGAAAAAGTCGTCGGCGCCCACTGACAGATACGGACGACAAGCTGCGAGCTAGACTGCCATTCTCTGCTGGCAAATTGGATGACTCGCCACTGGTACTGAGCTACTCTGATTGCAGACTGCTTGCTATGCTTCTTGCTGACTGACTGCTTGACATGCCATTTTGTGTTGTTGTAGAACCCACCAACATCGGCGTTAGGCACACCGACGTCGCTGTTACCTGCCCGATATGTTAGCCACGACAAAGCACTGGCAGACGCTGACTCTTCGCACAGCGAAGCCCAGACCCCTTCGTATCAAGTTGATGGGCGGCTTGCATTGCAGCGGCTACTTCATTCGTTTGGCTCTATTTATCAGAAAATAAGCATGTATCTGTGTCGAGAAGGTCTGGAGATGCTAGAGCAGCTTCCTGCGTCCCAGTACGCATCGGGTTGGGCACAGCAGCAAATTGGACGAGCCCATTTTGAGATGGCGGACTACGTGCGAGCACAGGAGGTGTTCTGTGCCTTACATAGGGCGGAACCGCATCGAATGGAAGGCCTCGACTTGTACTCGACGACGTTGTGGCATCTCAAGAAGGACGTGGAGCTTTCTTACGTGGCGCAGCGAGCAACCGACTTCGACAAGTTATCATGTGAGGCATGGTGTGCTGCCGGCAATTGTTTCAGTTTGCAGAAAGAGCACGACGTCGCCTTGACTTTTTTCCAGCGGGTACGTTTGTTCAAGAGCTGTTTGTTCGCGCGCTGTTGTCCTCACCAGTAGATTCTGCTTGCGGTCTACCCATGCCAGGCAATCCAGCTGGACCCGTCGTTCACGTACGCGTACACGTTGTCCGGTCACGAGTACGTTGCGAATGAGGATTTCGAAAAGGCCGTGAACTGCTACCGACATGCAATTCGTACCGACCCGCGTCACTACAACGCCTGGTATGGTCTGGGCACGATCTACTTTCGGCAAGAGAAGTTCGAGTTTGCAGAATACCATTTCAAGCGCGCGCTGGAGATCAATCCTCGGAGCTCCCTGCTGCATTGCTTTCTCGGCATGGTCCTGCACGCGATGCACAGACATGAAGAGGCACTGGCCACCTTTGCCATTGCTGCCGAGCTCCAGCCGCTGAACCCGCAAGCCCGGTTTCAACGCGCCAATGTGCTGAGTACCCTGCAGCGATACGGGGAAGCGCTGGACGAGCTTCGCGTCTTGCGCGATTTCGCACCGCGTGAGCCGTCCGTGCACTTTATGATGGGCAAAGTGGCCAAGAAGCTTGGTCGCATCGAGGAAGCCATGAAGTACTTCACCTTGGCCTTGCATTTCCATCCCAAGGACAACAACCAGATCAAGGCAGCTATGGACAGAATCAATGAGCTGGACGAGGATGGCGACGGCGACGACGAAGACGACGACGACGACCGCACGTAGCGATGAGACGACTGAACCCGATCGGGCACAGCTTGTAGCATCGGATGCAAAAGCCCGCATATAGACGAAACAATACCACTGCTTAACCAGAGGCTCGACCACATCCTGCAGTCGTTTGCTGCCAATCTCTCGTCCTGCTGCAGCGAGTCGAGGGGACGAATGGTATCGGCGACCGTGAAGAGCGAAGCGCGACTGCTGTTACAGCAACTCACACGGTTCCACGACGCAAGCGAGGCACTGACCCGTTTGTTTGAAGAAGGCGAGCTGGAGCAGGCGTCTGAACGAGTGGCCGTGTTGCTACAGCTGCTGCATTGGCAGAACACGTCAGCTTCCAGTTGTCTCGACGATGTGCTGGCTGAAGTCGAGACGAGCAGCGAGGACGGGGCCATTGCGGTGCGCAGTGACATGGAGTTGAGAGTGCTGGGCAAACCTGCTCTGCTCTTTGCCACGTCGATCTATGACGAAGAGCTGGCCATGTTGATCTGGTCGGGCTTCGTTCAATTCCACGCACTATATCCAGCCTTCGACCTGACGCGGCAGGTGCTGGACAATGCAGCCGACTCGCTCGGGTACTCGGCTCTTCATTATGCCATCGAGGCGCAGATGGGCGAGTTGTTGCAGGCTGTGTGCCAGGAGCTGAACCCAGAGACGACAATGGCAGTAGTGCGCTGCGTCGTGACACAAGACGTGACGTTGCCGGTGAACACTGCAGTCGGCATGGGCAAAAACATTGCCAGCGGAGGTTGTTCGCTGCTTCATCTTGCAGCCAAGAAGGGGGAACTGAACATGGTGAAGCGGCTGATTGAACCACCGATGTGCATGGACCCAACGACTCTCCGCGACTGGGACGGGAACTCCCCCGCACGCGTAGCAGCTATCCATGGCCATGATGCGATTGCTGCATTCCTCGAGGTATCGTCCAGGCGGACCATTCGTTGAGACGACTTGGCTAATGGCTGGTGGCTGCGCAGTGGTGCAGTGCTCTGACGGTCTTTGTGGTGCTGTTTGGCGTAGGGCATCACTGGCGAAGCGGCGTTGAGCGCATCCGAAGTTGATGGGCTGCGATTGACGCGTGAAGCAATTGCGAGAGACCGCTACGTGGCGCACTTGGCGCCTCAGGAATCCATGCTGGAGCCGTCAGTGTTTCCAGCGATCTGGAGCCTCGAAGAGACTGCTCTTGTTCGACGCGAAGTGACCCACGTGGTCGCAGAGCACGGGTGGTGCACGACGCGCCACGCTTCGTACCAGACAACCGACTTGCCGTGCCACCACGTTGCTCGGATCGACGCCTGGGTGCGCTCGACGCTGTCGCAGCGGTTGTTTCCTCCGATCATGGCGCACTACAAGTTGCCCGCGTCGCAGCGACTGCGCTTTCGTGACCTCTTTTTCGTCAAGTACGCGGCACGCAAAGGCGAGCGCTCGGACCTCGCACTGCACCGCGACGGGTCCGTCCTGTCGTTCAACATGCTGCTGAACGCGGCCGATGAGTTCACGGGAGGCGGGACCTACTTTGACGCCACGAAGCGGACCGTGCACGTTTCACAAGGCGATGTTATGGTACACAGCGGAAAAGTGCTTCACGCTGGCGCACCTGTGCGGTCAGGCGTACGTCAGATCCTGGTCGGCTTCCTGGACGTCACGGACTGGTCGTTCTAGCGTCTTGACGTCCCATGTGTTGCATGCTGAAGGAAGCACTTACCCGACAGACAACAGGTGCGTCTGCTTTGGGGTCGTCGAGCCGACAGCACGTGCGACTATTGTAGCGTCGGCTATTGTCGAGGGGGTTGACAGGAGCAAACAGGTGGCCCGAATCGATTGAAGCAAAGCCCATCACATGTGGCGCGTACGGCAAACAGTGCGTGCAGGAAACCGTACAATGTGTCGTGATAACACGTTTTGCCAAGAAGAGCAAATTGTCTCAATCACGTCATGTCGGACGCGTCTCTCTATCATGTGCGCCAGTGTAATGCCCCCGTCACACGAGCTGAGAGCTGATGGATTCGTGGCAATCCTGCGACATGAGTGACGTACGCTCAACAGATGAGACGGTCTGCATAGGCGATCGAATAACCTCACACCGCCTGCACTTGTACGCTTACAAACACCGACAGTGACTGAACAAAGGCAGCGTCGATTGACACCGATCGACAGAGTCATAGTGGAAACTGCTGCATACTGCCATTGCACAGGTACGCAATATCCTGAACAGAGCCAACATAAGTGCGCTGTAAGGTGTAATCCTTGCCAGCAGACCTGAGCAAAGCACAGTGCGCCTATCTTCGGTCACTCGCACGTTGCAGCTCTACGAAGCGAAGTCGAGACACCAAATTCTGTATGAAGTAGACGTGAGACGGTGGGTCATGGGGTGAGCGGCACAGCGCATGACCGATTCGAAGCCCATGCAGCGAGTGCACTTCTATTGAACCGCAAACGCGCATGTGAGGGATAATGAACAGCTTTGTGTCGCCTGGAGACTGAATAAGTCGTTTCTAAACGACGCTTTACATCGCCAGCGATGTATTGAGAGCGACCTTGTACAGCTTTATACAGCTTCCACACGTCGCATGAACTAGCCCATCTCGCTCACCATGCTGTTCAGTAGTTCTCCTCCAGCCTCTTCCGTCGCTATCGTCTTGCCTATCAACTATCCCGCTTCCTTATCCTGCCTACCTCTCTATACAGTATCCCAAACGCTGCAATCCGACATGGCGCAAGACCATGCAGCTCACCCTACTGCGGACACGTCCGCGACGTCGACCGACATGGACCGCGACTTCTTCTGCTTTCCGTACGAGCCATACGCAATCCAACTGGACCTTATGCGTCAGATATGGCACACACTCGAGCGCCGCCGCTGCGGAATCTTTGAGAGTCCAACCGGTACGGGGAAATCCATCAGTCTCATCTGTGGTGCCCTCACGTGGCTCACAAAGCACACGGACGAGTTTGGGTTACCCCGAGCTGACGGTCCCACGTCAACGCCGTCAAGTGCGACGGTCTCAAGTGTACCGGTCACCGGCGCTGAACCCACTTGGCTCGACGCCTTTGAGCACAAGGCAGCAGATCGGATGGCTACATATCGTCAAGAAAAAGTACAAGAAGCTCTGGCAGAGGTCGAGAAGATACGAGCGGAACCGGATGTGGTGACCAGAAAGCGCAAGATGCGCATTGCGTACGATTACAGTGACCGGACACGGAGGTGTCGAAAGAAAAACAGCTGTAAAGAGAGCAAGTCGGACGACGAAGACCATTTGGTGGACGCTTACGACAGCGATCGAACAAGTCGATGCACTCAAAGCAGTGACGACGATGACGAGTGTAGCACAGCTTCGAGGGATCAGAAGCAGCAGTCTCGAAGAGAGGAGAACGAGGACTTTGGAGTGGTGAAGATCATCTACTGCAGTCGGACGCACTCGCAGATCTCGCAGTTTGTTCGCGAGATACGGAAAACAGAGTTTGCAAAGCACATTCGGGTCGTGTCGTTAGGCTCACGCAAGAACTTGTGCACGAATCCAAAAGTCGCAACAATGGCCTCGGACGTGAGGATGACCGACAAGTGCTTGGACATGATGCAAAGTAAGAAGAGTAAAGACGGCACCAAGGTTCGCAAGTGCCCGTTCTACGAAAAAGAGCTACTTGGCCACTACACAAATCACGCTCTGGTATGCTTCCATGTGCCTGTATGTGTGCACTGCCTACGTCTGATTGTGTTTGGGTGACGCATGTAGGCACGTGTACAAGATATCGAAGACCTCCTCACGTTGGGCGAGGACATGTCAATTTGCTCGTACTACGGTACGCGCGAAAGCATTCCACTTGCTCAAATCGTCACGGTGCCATATTCGATGTTACTCAGTAAAGACACTCGGGAGACTATGGGTATTGCGCTGGACAACAACATTGTTATCTTCGACGAGGGACACAACATCGTCGATGCAATCAACAACACGTATAAGGTCGAGATCACCAGCAAGCAGCTGGTGGTAGCACGAAGAACGTTGTGGTCATACTTCACAAAGTATGAAAAACGCTTCAAGGGCAAGAACGCGTTCTATATCAAACAACTGCTGACAATGTTGGAGTCTATGACAGCATTTCTTCGCCAGCTGAGCAAGTCTGCTAGGCAAAACAGGGCAGCTGGTGACATGGATGACGGAGTCACTGGCGCACAGATGATGTCGATCAACGATTTTGTGTTCAGCGCGCGGATCGACCACTTCAACATGTTTAAGATCTTGGAGTATCTGAGTGAAAGCGAGTTGGCCAAGAAGCTCATGGGTTTTGTCGACTCCACGAGAATGGAATCTCCTGCTGTAACCGCTTCGTTAGATGCGTCTACTGTTGATCCTGCCGAAGGCTTTGAGAGCCGTCACGCATCACCGCTTCGAACGGTCGAAGCTTTGCTGAAGGCCTTGACCAATGCAGGAAAAGACGGCCGGATCCTCGCACAGCCGCACAATGTACGTCGCGTTGATGTTGGCGTCGATCTTACTGACCCACATAAGCATCGGTCACATGATATCTGGCTGTTGCTACCATCTGTATGTAGGCACAGAAAGGTGTGGAAGGATTGATCAGGTTCATCTTGCTGAACCCTGTCGTTCACTTTCAAGAAATAGTGACGAAAGCGCGGAGCGTCATTCTTGCTGGAGGAACAATGCAACCGGTAAGTGAGCATGCCGAACCTCTTTGATGCCAGCATCAGCCGTCTTGGTAGTCACCATGTGTTGGAGTGTTGCTGTCAGGTCTCACAAGTGATTGATCAGCTGTTTACTTCAATACCGAGAGAAGACATCGACTTGTTTTCGTGTGGACACGTCATTCCTCCTGAGAATTTACTCGGTTTCAGCCTCCCGTCAGGTCCTACGCAAAAGCATCTCGAATTCACGTTCGCTCGACGCAGCGATTTCGAAGCGATGGACGAGCTTGGGCGCATCCTGCTTAACCTTGCGCGCATTGTGCCAGGTGGAATCGTGGTCTTTTTTCCTTCGTACCGTTTCGAAGAAAACGCAGTATGTCGATGGCAGGTGACAAAGCAGTACGAGCAGATACAAGCGAAGAAAGACGTGTTCAGCGAGCCGAAAAAGTCGGCTGAACTTGCTGAGGTACTCAAGCAATACTCAGCGGCGTGCGCGCAAGGCAACTGCGACAAAAGTGGTGCCATGCTGCTGAGTGTCGTCGGGGGTAAAATGTCCGAGGGAATCAACTTTAGTGACGAGTTGGCACGGTGTGTTGTGATGGTGGGTATGCCTTACCCGAACGCTCGCGATCCAGAAATCGTCGAAAAGATGGGCTTCTTGGAGAAGAGAAGCGCTGGGGCTGGACGACAGTTCTACGAAAGTCTCTGCATGAAGGCGATCAACCAGTCCATTGGTAACGTATTATTGTACATCGCTGCACACTCCATACTGCTACTGCTAACACGTGTTGGTATCCTGGACGTACAGGAAGGTCTATTCGCCATCAAAATGATTTCTCTACCATTCTGCTGGTCGACCATCGCTACTCAAGTCAGGCCGTTCGCAGTCGCCTACCAGAGTGGATCCAAAAGCGCATGCAACCACCAATGCCATTCGGGCAAATGTACTCGCAGCTCGTACAATTCTATCGAGCAAAAGGAAGCAAAAATGTGGCAACTGAGACAATCGGTTGAATAGACCACAGGCGGATGTTGCACTGTACTGTCAAAGCATGCTATTTTGCTAGTTGTCGTTTGTATTCCGCGCAAATGACTTGCTTTGCAATGCCAAGCACCCGACCAGCTAAAGCTTCGTCGTCATAAGACCATTCCATGTGCACTTCCCACTCGGCAGACACTGCCACACCAACTGTGCGGAGCTTCAACCAGCGGTCGATCTTCTCGATAGGCACGTCGCAAATCCACTTGGCCAGACTGACCTCCAACGATTTCAGAAGTTGGTCCACACTCGCTTGGGGCTGCTGTTCGCTTTCTTCTTCTTCTTCTTCTTCATCGGCCGACTCCACGGCTGCAGAAAGAAGAAATGACAACGCAGATGCAGGACGCAGGCTTTTCTTCTTCACACGAGGTGAAGGCTGGAGCGGCTTTTTCCATGAGTACGAGAACAAGAGCGAGTGCTTCTTCTTCTTCAGGCGGCGTGCGCCATTGCCGCTCGACACGAGCATCAGCTTTCGCTTTGATTCCGCAATCAGCATACCCTGCACATCGGAAGGGTTGTTGAACATAGCCTTGTGGATGCGCAAAGGTATATCTCGAGCAGGTTCAATAGGCGTTCGTCCTGTGGCATGTATGCCTTTCACGACCACGCAAGTGTCAACAGCTGGATCCATCTTCAGCTCGTTGTGGACGTGCGTCTTAACAAACTCAAGGTCATTCTCGACACTGTAATCAAGAATGACCTGCTGTGGGGCCACACGAGATACGAGCTGCACGATGCTCTTCGTGTCCACTTCATCGCCGCAAGGCTGGTAGTGCACGCCGCATTCCACATTCACTCCAAGACGCTTGCTAACGCGCTTTCGTTCAGGCTCTGCATACAGCAAATAGTTCACCGTGCCTGGTGTGCAGTTTTCAGAGAGCACGATGAGATTTTTCGGATCGCTCGCAACTGCCTTGATAGCACGCAGTGAATCACCCTGAGAAATGTTAGCTGGTCCCGTGAACAGCACAAACGGTCCTGGTTGCTGAAGCCGAGTCCAATCAAAAACTTGCAGGTCAGCAGTATGTGAAGACCTTCCCTGCAGCAAGTTCTGAAGTGCAGGTGTGCACGTGCGAGATAGCACGCGCAAGTATCTGCTTGGATACTCCATCGCAGCGTCTGATAGGTAGATAGGGCATCGTCCTGCCTTCCCTGCAGCATCCTTCATCTGCTGCCAATGGTCCAGCAAAATCGTGACTAGTTCATGAAAGTATCCCAGCCGGTAGATAGGAATCACTACTTTGCCTTTCGAACTGACACATTCCAAAATGACCTTCACAAGCTCCCTCTCCATGGCGCATTGCGTCTCCGATACGGTCACAGCAAATGAGCTGCGACTTATCAGTGCACAGGGCTCCAATCGTGGGATCTGTGCTGGCAAGAGCACCCGTCCACCCGTGAAGTTAAAGTCATTGGCGAAAAGTACCGTCGTGGCTCCAATCTCCAAGTAGAAAGCACACCCACCAGCGACATGACCCGCGTGAAAAGCCGTGACGTTTAAGTGGTCGTTGACCCTCACACGAGCCTTCAATCCAACTGCTTTAACTTTGTCAAAGGCCGGAACAATGTCGTGGACGTCGTACAGAGCCGACGAACCGCTTCCTTTGTCCTTCACCTTCCCGTGACACCCAGTCCTGATACCATCACCCACGCATTGTTAGGCAACAAAGGAACTGATGGAAGATGTACACACACAGCTTTTCGCTTGCTTACCAATACTCTGTGAGAATATGTGGAGCAATCGCTCGTGTGCCGTGCGTCATAATGATCACTGGGGACTGTTTCTGGCTCGAGTCTTGAGCTGCTGTAGCAGTGCTGGAGGTCCCCCACGACGCACCACACTTCTCTGTGATATACGGAAGCATGAAGCTGACTCCAGGACGGTAGTCCGGCACCAGAATAGCGGCGAGAGTACTGCTTCCTTCGCGCCGAATCAGGTCTTTCAACTCGCGTCGGTACTGCGTCTTCACTGCGTCAATGTCCTCTGCGTTTGCATCATCAGGAGCTACGGACGACAGGTCTCTTGCTTCGCCACATCCCACGAGCACCGTAGTGCCCGTGAGCTCGTCCCGTAGACAGAACGCAGCGCCATTGCCCAGTCGCTCGACCGAGACACTCATTTGACAAGGAGGAAAGGAGGCGCGTATCTGAGACCTCTGAGTCGGATCACAAACGAGGACACAATTGAGGGTACCACTGCATCGAGGCCTGATTCGAGTCAAAGGAGAAAGCACGCGGGACTATTTCTAACGAGTGGCCGACCGGTGTCGCATTTCTAAAACGTGCCGGCTTCAACAAGGCCAGCAAAAAACGCCGACAGCTCCTGGCGAGGCACAAACGTCTTGGCCATTGTCCGTCGCGTCTGTACTTCGACGAGTCCTTCTTTTGCAAAGCGCTTGCCAACAACGACTCGATATGGAAAGCCCAGGAGCTCCGACTCGGCCAACTTGGAGCCTGGACTCTCTTGCCACCGGTCGTCCAGTAGTACATCGTCTCTCGCGAAGCCAGCGGTCGTGCCCGAAGCAAGCTCGCCAGCAATGTCCCAGGCAGTCTGCGACACAACGTCGCTCTGCGTCTTGCCCCCAATCGACATGACGAGCACCTTGTACGGAGCGATTTCCGTGGGCCATACGATGCCGTAGTCGTCGTGCGAGGCCTCGACGGTCGCAGCAACAAGTCGACTCACGCCGAGGCCATAGCAGCCCATCTCGAACGCGTGCTTCTTGTGCTTGGCATCAGTGTACACTGCACCAAATGGCTTGGAGTATTTCTGTCCAAGGTAAAAGACATGACCCACTTCAATGCCGCGCTTGTCCTCGAGCACCGCAGCACTATCGTTGCAGCGTGGACAGCAGTCGCCCGCTTGTGCTCGACGGAAGTGACCCCAAGCAAGGTGGATGTGGTCCTCGTGCGCGGACAGGATTTTGGCTGCAGCGCAGAGCGTCTTGACCGCTGGACTCATGTGGCCGCCGTGTTTCAGGGAATCATCCAGAAGCAAGTGCAAGTCGGTTGTGTGCAGGCGCTTTACCAGCAGGTCCATGATCTTCACTTTACTAGTGATGACGTCGCCTTCATCACCGCCGATGTATGGCTTTGCCGCTAGCTCGTTCATTGTGCGATCGTGCCGCAGAAAACACAAAGCCATTCGATGCACTGAATCATCAGCGACGCTATCAGCGGTATCGGGATCCACGTTCTCGGTCCTCTCTAGCACTAAATTGAACGAGAACCCAGCTTCCCCTGCAGCATCGTGAAGATCTACGATCGACTTCCACACTTGTGCATCCCCTGCACGAGCCTGTTCATCAAGCTGCGCAATAATAGCGCCAAGCTCTACCGAGATCTCGTCGCTGCAGCCTTTCGTCATAGCGTGGTCAGTTGGCGGCAAGACGCCCTCTGCCTTCTCTACATTTGCTGCATAGTCGCACAAAGACGACGAGCAGGACAAAATCGCGTCTTCGCCGACATCAGCCAGCACGTGGAACTCGTGCGACAGATTGCCGCCAATCTTGCCCGAGTCGGCTTCCACTCGTTTCACAGGCAGCTTCAGTCTCGAGATCAAGATCTTGTTGTATGCAGCAGTGACATCCTGATAGGTCTGCCACGCACTGTCATACGTAGCATCAAAGGAGTACATGTCCTTCATCACAAACTCGCGCGCTCTCAAGAGACCGAATCGCGGCCGCATTTCGTCACGAAATTTGCGGCCAATCTGGTACAACCGCAGCGAAACGTCTGCTGCACCTGCAGCATTGTAGTGTGCTGCAACAAGGCTGGTTATGCTCTCTTCATGTGTCGGCCCTAGCACCAACAACTCGTCTCGACGGTCGTCAAGCGTCATGAGCTCCGGACCACGACTTTGCCAGCGTCCCGACTGCTTCCACAACTCATGGGGTGTAAGCACTGTCATATCCACACGATTGCCGCCAATCTCGGACATCTCTTCGTCAATCAGTGCCTCCAATTTGGCCATCACACGGCGTCCAAGAGGCAGCACGGCAAAGAGTCCATGGCCACTCTTGCGCACGAAACCGGCGCGCACCAGGAGCTGGTGACTGGGCACCGCTGCATCCGACGGCGCGTGCTTTTCGGTTGGAGCCCATAGTAGCGACCGCAAGGCACAAGGGCTCGCGTGGGTTGAAACGCGGCGCTTTGCCGACACGAGTGGGCGGCTGCGACGTGTGCAAGTCGACCACATGAGGATTCGTGCAAACGGGACAAGACCGACTCGTGCGTTCGTGTGGTCGACACCACGAAGCCACATCGTGTACACCACTGAGTGCGCAGCAGGGACAGGTGCTGATGGACTGAACAGGCGATCCAAAAGGTCGCAAAAGGGGATGGAAAAGGAGGCGAAACATGGCGTTCGTTTGGCGTGCGCAGAAACGCTGGAAAGTGTCCTTTGCGCTCATGTGCAACACCCAGAAGAACGTCCATCTGCTTCTTCGCTCTCGCTCTCTCTCGTCCTTCTATCTCGATGCAAGAACAAGAGAACAACACGTGGAGAAAGTGTTGATCCGAAGCAGAGAGAGAGAGAGCAGAAGTCGTGACGATACAATTTACGAGTCGCGGACAGCGCGTTCGAGTCGAGCAACGCCGACTCGTAGATATGACTGCGCGCACAGGTACTGCCCGATTCTCCGTTCCGAGTTATCAGAACACACCGTCTTCGCCGACTTTTGGTTCTACTCGTGAGCGTTTCTTCGCCACGTCTGAGGGGCGTTCGTAATGAGACCGAAGTATTGCACACTTCTCGTGGTCGCACGTTTGACCAACGGCACAGGCCGCACTGAGTGTGCCTGTCGACAACCAACGTGTCGACACAGAGACCGTTCGTTCACGACGTTGCCGCAATGCCACTGTCGTGCCACACGAGCGGATCACAATCGCAACACGAAAGTATCGAACACTGTCGAGGCAACGAGCGAAACGCTCGACAATGCGTGGCGAGCGCGGCCGTCACGTCGCCCACTTGCAGCAGTTGACGCGCCAGCAGGTACCCCTTCTCGCCATCTGACTTGGAAACTGTGACTGCCACGCTGAGCGACGACGGGTGCGACCGCACAAACTGTGCGGGAATAAAGCAACAGAAACCGACCAATTACACACATACACACACATACACACATACATACATTCATACACACACACCCCCTCCCTCTGCGACACAACATCATCCCCACACCGTGGACGAGAAAGGGCACGTTTTTCTCGCGCTCTTTCTCTCTCTCGGGCTCTCGTCTAGGGCTCGGCGAATACCGATACCAATAAAAAGAAACGTACCCATTAACAATAACTCGCCTGCGTTTACTCGTCCGATTAGGTCGCTCTGCACTTATGTCGCACCGCACGTATTCGCCCCGAGGAGGTCCGTCCTTTCCACCCCTCCCTTTTGGCCCCGTCGGGACCCCTTCCTGACCCATTGCGCGTTTCTGCGCCGCAAACAGCTGCTCGAGCGCCAAGCGCGACCAAACAAACCCCCTCTTCTTCTTCTTCTTCTCCGCCGCCGCCGCTGCCGTCATGGCTTCAGGTTGGCCCGCGCCCAGGAGACGGCCAGGCACGTCACTCGGTCCGTGGAACCCGTCGTCGCCCCCGCCGCTGCTGGAAGAAGCGGTGAAGCCATCGAGACGGTCGACGTTTTCGCGTGGTCGGGTGAGCCAGCGGACCACGAGGCAGACGGTGCAGCCGCACGTTGAACTCGAAGTCGAAGCGATCGCGGAACAGCACGAGCGGGAGAAGCGCCGGAGCTTTTTGGCCTTTATGTTGGGCCCCGAGAGTGCGTTACGGACGCTGCGGTCCGTGTCGGACGCCACGTCGCCTGCGCCGACGCTGGTGCAGCGCGAGAAAGCGTTTCGCTTGGTCCGTCATGGCTCGGACCCGATGCTGAACGACGCGTTCTACGCCACGCAAGTGCAAGTGGGAAACTTTGTCAAAATGGGCTGGCTCACGAAACAAGGGCATTTGTGGAAGAGCTGGAAAACGCGGTTCTTTGTGCTGTTTTCGGACGGCACGTTTGCCTACTACAAGAACAGAGGACGGAAGAAGATTAAAGGGTGCATGCAATTGAACGACGGGGTCGTGTCCGTCCAACACGTGGACATTCGCGTGGCCGAGAAGGCCTATGTCTTTCAGATCGAGAAGGGGTTTTACAAACTCTTGTGTTACTGCAGCAGTCAATTTGAAGCCGAAATCTGGGTATCTGCGTTGCGGTCCGTGCGACGAGTAGCACCGCCGTGCTTTGAAATGGACTTGACGGCCACGGAGGAGAAAGCAGGGTCGAATGCCGTGACGAGACACATGAACAAGATCTTTGTCACGGATGAGCACATTGCCAATCGTTTGATTGAGTTTAAGGAACGCGAAAACGACCACTCGTATGTAGCCATTCACAATTTCATTGTTGAACTGGACGATGCAATCATCGATCGTCATCATTTGGAGTTGTATCGAGACCCGGAGATTATATTGTTACCTGGAAACGAGCTTGTGCGGCTCATTCGTCGGCATGTAGAAGACCGCGTATTTGTTCCGTTGTATGCAGATGCGTACGCAAGCCTGGAGAGTTGTAAGGTGAAGTCAAGACGCAGAAACGTGGAACGGAATCGCAAGGTGCTGAAGCAAAAGACGCAAGCAGATTTTGGCATAGCAAAGGATCTGTCAGTTTGCAAATGGGACCAAGCTATTGGTGCGATCAATCTGCTCGATTGTGTGTCGCTCCCAACGCACAAGTTTGAAGTCATTTTGTCTGCTGGAAAAGTCATCACAGAACTGATTGCCAAGTACAACGACGAGCATTTCGAAGTATCCGATGAGACATTGACGGCAGTTTTTCGGTACGTTGTCACAATGTCATCACTGAGTGACCTGCCAATTCTCCGAGTGCTGCTGAAGCATGGGTACAAGCAGCATCCAGCATGTCAGAACAAGGCGAACATCGTCAGAGCTTTCCTCGATGCAGCTAAATGGGTGGAGTGTTTCGAACCTAGCGATGAGAGCTACCGGTTTGACTCCCTGGGGCTTGCTGGGTCTCGCGTCTCGGTATCCATTTCGACCAACGACATTGGCATCCAGTTCACAACAGATGGCAACGGTCGGGGGGCTGTTGTATACAGTGTCCGAAAGCTGTCCCAAGCAGCGCTGAGCTCTTCGATTGTGGCTGGGCTTTCGCTGATCGCAATCAATCACGAACCGGTGATTGGGATGCCATTCGACAAAATCGTCCAGCAAGTGCGCACTGCAGCTCTTCCAAAGCAGCTGACCTTTATGACAGAGTTTTACTACTACCAATTGCTATCGCTGGACGCCGACATGTTTCGATATCTGATGTGTATCGCAGGTCGTCGAGGAGACTTGGACTCGGCCATATGGCTGCAGTCGCCTGCAATGGAGCTCAATTCGCTATGTTCGTGGGAAAAGTCAAGAGGAAAGCAGGTATTCGGTTTTGTTCCGGTATCTGGAAAGGGATCACCTCTTCATGCAGCGGTGCACAACGGACAGCTACATATGGTCAACTATCTTATTTCAAAAGGAGCTGATGTTAATTTGTGCGATCATAAAGGAAGAAGACCACTGCACGTCGTAAAGAAGTCTGCTGAAATGGCGCTGATTATTGAGAGCCTCGTTAATATGGGGGCTGAAATCGACGCGATGGACAAACATGGCCTTACTCCATTGATGTCCATGTGCGCAAGGGCGTCGCTCGAAGGGTCTGCAACGCTGCTAGATCTCGGAGCTAATGTGCACTGCGTAGCGTGGTCGAATGGGTTTTCGGCGCTGGAATTTGCAGTGAACAGTGAATGCACAGATCTGGTAGCCTTGTGTTTGTCAAAGGGATCGAATCCGAATGCACCAACGCTGGATGGAAATACCAGTCTGCATTTAGCTGCCGCTCTCTCGCACGCTGATATCATCATCGAGTTACTACAGAGTGGTGCGAATCTCGATGCTCGAAACCGGTACGGCCAGACTCCAGCAACAGTACTGCTTGCATCAGATCTCGGCGGCCATGGCGTCGCTCCAGTCACGTGCCTTGGAACTGTGGCACACGATGGATGCCATAGAAACACGCACGATGTCCCTAGTTTTCGGGGTCGGTTACCAAAAGCTTGCTCGGAGCATTGTCTGGATGACGATGCTGACTTCAATAGCTCGGACAGTGCATTGTCGGACAGGGTTCCTGGTGGTCATTACCACACGAACCAGGCTACAGGATGTATGAGATCGCAATTGCCCGACGATGTGTGGAAGATTACGGGAAAGAACAATCTTGTGTCGCGATCCATGCGTTCGAAATCTGTCGACAACATGGTTTGCGATTTGGTGTTAGGAGCAGATGTGGACTTGGTGGATTACGTGGCATTTGTGCTATTTCTCGATAGTTTTTCAAGTCTGAACAAACTGGTAGAGCTGTTAAGCGACTACGTCCGCGATGGTGTCAAGAGTAAGACTTTTGCGGTGACATGGTCAAGTGTTTGTCGACCTCATGTACTAATTGTTGTGCATTCATTTGTCTAGGTCACGGATTCATCCGTCTTATCATCTTGATGATGCTGTTCAGGCTGTCAAACACGGAAGAAGCTGATGATGATGTTTGGGACCGTTTGTCCAGTCTCTTTGGTCACAACGTTGACGTCTCGAAGAAGAAACTGGTAGCTTTGGTGGGAGACTATCTCTCGCTCTACCGAGAATATTTTCATCTTCGAGGGGCCGGAAATTATGCTGTGAGCTACGAATCGATTCCCGAAATGATGACCAAGCTCTACGGACAAGATGCAGGCGTTGGACCTGTAGATTGCAAGTCTTTCCCGGGTTATTTGCACCGGTAAGCCACATTCGTAAACCGCTGTTGTAGTTGACGTGTCTCACTCTCTCTCATCTTGTGCAGGTACATCGATGCAGAACAGTGGGCCGTGGAGTGCACACTTTTGACACATGCAGTCTTTTGCAAGATCCCAGGTATCGTACTCACTCGTACATGCACCTTTCGGTTTCTCACGTGGTCAAAAGTCTAGTATCGTAACGCAATCGATGTTTGCAGTACAAGATTTTATTTGCACAGGATCAAAGATCGAGCAATGCGTTGAGTTTGCAGTCATCAAGCGGTGGTTTCAACACGTGCGTCTCGCTTCACTCGATCTGGTGCTGAAATACGGGGCTAACTTGCAGCATTGTTTTGCTCGGACATGTCACAGCTGTCTGCATATGTGATCAATGCCGTTTTGGTCCAAGACACACCTGCAGAACGCGCCGCAGTGATTTCGTTCTACCTCAAGGTAAATTGCTGATCTCTTCTGCATCCTGGATGTCGTGTGTCCAATGATCAAGCTCATGCTTTTCTGTTAGGCTGCCAATTACTGTTTGTCTCTGCACAACTACGATACGTTAGCTTCGATCTTGTACGCGCTGCAGTCTACAGCAGTGCAGCGTCTTCGGAAGACGATCGACTGTGTGCGTGCGATGCAGTTCGGTGTACTTCGGTGCTGCGGGCCGATATAACTGAACATCATATTCGTACGTGTTTGTGTCGATGCATTGCAGCTAAGCGTCCAAGCGAAGAAGATGATGAACGAGATGCAACTGCTCTCGGACAAGGGTTGCCGTGAGATGAATCAGCTTATGAGAAACACAGCTAACCCGTGTATGCCTTACATCGGGTTGTACCTCCAGGTAAGCGTGTAACGTGCAGCATGTTAGTAAAGGGGGACCTGGCTGACGCTAAGTGGTATGTCAGGGCTTTGTCGGACTGAACGAGCTGCCTACATTTGGCAGCGATGGCTTGGTGAATGGGAATCGGCTGCGACGAACGGGCGAGCTGGCAATGGAGATATTGCACCGCCAGTCGGTTGCTTATGCGCTTCCGACTAGTGAAAAGATTGGCGTAAGATGCTATCAGCATACTACTGCGTTATGATGGTACTTTCTCACCCATGTTGCTGGTTGCGTGCAGAAATTACTGCATGTCACAATGCCGTATGCTTCCGAGGAGTCCCGTTATGCGAGATCCCTGGAGCTAGAGCCGCGCGAAGCCGATGCGATACCGTTGAGCGATTCCGGTTCGTGTGCTGTTATCGATGATGACCTGGACCTTGCCAACGAGGTCCGTGGTTCCATTGGTAGTGACGGGACATTCGGGTTCCGCCAGTGGATTCGTAAGCAGCAAGTGGTCCATCGATATCGCTCACGCTCATCGCTGATTGCATTGTATGAGTGGGTCTAGCTGTATGATGTGGCCCATGACACGTCGATATGCGGCTCCTTAGAGGCGAACGCTTTTATCTATTGGCTGTGGATGTATTCATGTGCCAGCATCAACACTATCTATAAGCGTATATAGCTCGGAGCGATGTGCTTTTCGATGTCTCCCGTTGCTCGGAGATTGAAGGCCGTAATACCGCTGTTACAGTGTAGCAAGTTGTCAACTGCGTTTGCGCTGAACGAGCGGCACACCGTCTAAATCGTTCCCAACCATCTCCCAGATTCTGTAAGCAAGAAGAACAAGCAGCTGTCGTGTTGCTCACTCTTTCTACCGGCGACAGTAAAGCTCTTTTGATGAAGCCACTTCGTCCTGTTACGTCTCAAGAATCGATAGATCGAACCCATTGTGCGCGTCGCGTCCACAACGTAGACGCCAAGTTGCGCGATCGTGCGCTACGGACCAACTACAGTGTTCTTGTGAGACAAGATGCCATGTGCATACTTGCAATTGCTGAAAGGCTTTGTGATGTCGGCTCGCTCGCTCAAAAGAAGCTCAAGGCGAAATTGATCTGTACAATGCCGCACCTGCCGAGCAACGATTGAGAACGTGACGCTCACTACAGACCACGAACATCCAGCACGCCACCCTTGAACCGTCCCTTGGTCGCCTGCAGTCCAAAATCGGTCTTCCTTCCCTTCTGCTGCACTTTTGCCTTGTCCTTTGATCTTCGCTTCCCCGTCAGCACGTCCGACTCCTTCATCTGCATATCCGGCAGCAGCAACAACAATGCACCAGCCATTCGGCCCACAACGTCAATCTCTCACAGTACCCTGCAAAAAAAAGAGAAAACACGCACGCACCAGGTTCTCACGGCGTTGCTTCCGAGCCGCCCCTTTGGTCCTCATGCCAATGAGCACTTTGTACGGCACCCTACGGTTCGCAGCAGCTTTTCCACCAAGCGACTCAATCTTTTGAGCCTCGTGCTGCTTCTTTTCTTTTCCTTTCAGCTTCGACGCAGCTGATCCACACGACCGACGACAACAATCAAAGACATTCTTCTTCGTTAATCACTCGAACGGCACGAGAGCTTTGCCGTCGTCAGTCAGCCATCACCACTCACTGAAGTCCAGCACCGACTCAAACGCGTCGTCAAACTCCTTGCGTATCTCCTGCCGTCGCGTCAGCTCCACTGCATCGTCTTTGGCTTGCAAGTCGTTCTACAGACCTCCACACGAAAACGTGGACCAACAAATGTGTCACGCACTGAACTCGACGTCAAGTGAGGCAGAAAAAAAAACAGGCGCCACCAGCACGTACGGCATTCCTACGCGGCTTGCGCTCCTTCCACGTCTCGACAGGGCAGACAAAGACCTGCACTTGTTTCTTCTCGCCACTCGCCACGGGGAACTGGAAGACCATTTGCAGCAAAAAGGGAATGGCGACGCCCATTGGAGCTCGAAAATGGTGTGCACGACTTCAAATATGCGACGCGCGCCGTTTTTCGGCCATGTGCCGACAAAAGTGGCTACACCCTTTTGTATGCCACACAATCACACGCAGTTGTCAAATATACACGTGAGTTCGAGTGTGAGACGTCGTCGAGAGGGTACTGTCGCCAAAGAAGACGAACCTGTATGCGCACAACGCAGACCGATACGAGTGATGATGTCAAGATGGTCGTATGAACGAACCAACGCGGAATAAGTGGGGCTTGCGATGTGGCTTGCTGTACGACTACGAAGGTGTACTTCAAGCGCTTTTTGCATTTGTTGTGCCGTGACGTTCAGTCACGAATCTAACGGTACAGCGGACCCACGTGCTGCAGCAATTTTGGTCAGAATACAGTCATTGACGTCAACACGCTAATGCCAAAGGCAAGGTTGCAGACCTTTTGCGTCCGTCTCGCACGGACAATACGCCAAGCGAGAGGGCTACCCCAGAAGACGCTCGGCCTTGACGTATGGTCGCACTCATAGCAAATGGATACTTTGAGACGATCCATTGACTGTGTCGAGATGTGTCGAGATGTGGTGGATGTACGGCTTTACACTTCTTGTTCCTGGACCAGGTTACTGCTAGCGACTGGGTGCGAGCCCATACTGTTGTCGTCGAGTTGTCCGAGCTCGTCCTCTGCGTTTTTTTCTCCGCCATCAGGCCTGCTACCAACGTCCGAGGTGATGCCACTACCACTGGCCGATACATGAACAGAAGCACCAGGCTCTCCATTACTCTTGATCTCTTGGTGAATATCGTAAAAGCCTCGACTTTCAATCACACGGCTGCTCCCAAGACAATTGTCACGACAACTACTGACGTCCGATGTCGAAGGAGAAGCAGTCTGCAGTGCAGGTCCATTGTCAATGTGATTCAACGAATTCGGACTCAGTGGAACGAAAACGCTTTCGCCAACTAGAGACCGGTTCATCACGTCGTCGTCGCTTTTGGCTGTCGCAGCCGACAGTGGGCGGTATTGTGACAATGGCTGGAAGTCTGGCGAGTACACAAAGTCGTTGGTCATTCGTTTGTTAGGTGTGGGCGCTACGAAATCTGCCATGGACATTGGACTTGGTGACTGTATTCGTCGCTCTCGCACAGCTGACCGAGAATGCTCATCGTGCACATTTAGATCGACAAGACCCTGGCGAATGTGGCTCAGTCGCGAATGTGCCTCCATTTCGAAAGTATGGTCGTGGCGACTCGGAAGCTCGAAAACCTTATGTGCGTTGTTGTCCTGAACAGGTAATGTCCGGCGCTGGTTCGCCCTTTCCTGAGACTGCTGCCGTTCTTGGATCTGCTGTCGAGCTTGCTGCGCCAATCGCGTATAATGATCAGCCTGTTGTTGCCCATTGAGCACCTTTTGCGCATCCACCAACCGAACCAATTTTTCGTTCTCGAGTTGCAACAGCGCCCGCTGCACGCGCAGCTCGTCTTTTTCCCGACGCACGTCATCTCGATCGCGTCGGAGTTCTTCGCGTTCACGACGAATCTCCATGAGCAGCGAGCGATACTCATCGACTATACGTCTTTGCTGCACCACGGGCTGATACGAGCTCTGCATGTTATTACCATCGAAACTTGGCTGCCTTCCATCCATCCGGGCGCTTACGCTACGATCAAACGAATCGCGCTGGTCGTTGTTCCCACTACTCCATTCATCCCCTCGCGGCATCTGTACTTGTGAAGGAATCTGAGACGGCAAATGGCTTGCTGCAACACCCGTACCTCCACCCAGCTGATTTCGATGAGGTTCCAGCAACACATAGTCATTTTCTCTTTCATCACTGTCCGATCTCTTCTTGTACGTACTTGACCGTGCGTCAGCCAGCTGTCGTTTCGCTTGCACAAGCTCGTGCAGCGACGACAGTGCGTGATATGAAGGTTCCAGCTTGGACCGGTCCTCACGTGCCTCTGCATTCACCGCGGGGGTCCACTGCTGCTGCTTCTGTTGACCGCGAAAGCAGCATACGTCCTTCTTTGCCTCGACCTTCTCACGGCGTCTCGTTTCTTCCTCCTCTGCCTGCTTCAGCCTCCTCTTCTCCTGCACCTGCTCGTCCAAGATCTTTCTCCACTGCATCTGCTGCGCACGTCCCCGCAGTCGCTCGCTCGCCTCGAGCTTGTCGACGACTCGGAACCGCGGGTGCGACCGTGCCACGCTCGTTGTTTCCCCCGTGGCCGCACCTCGGTCCTGTTTCTGCTCACCATCAAGCCCATCGCTCGGTACGGCAGTCAACTGCGACGATGCAGTCGCTGGCACGTCCCAGCGACCGCCTTCGACCAGCCACTTGGACGGCGAGCGCTCGCTCGGTGCGAACTTGCGCTCGAGTTCGTCAATCGCCTGTTGCTGCTGCTGATGGTACGACCGCCGCAGCGCGATCTGGTGGTCCAGTGCCCGTGCATACGCCTCCCGTCGACGGTGGCTCTCGCGCGGGTCCAGGAGCTCCGCGTCGGACGGCCACATTTGCAGGCGGTGACAATGTTGCGCTAGGGACGCGATCTGATTGGCGGACTCGGCGACTACCCACCACCACCATGACGATCGATGGTCTCGGCGGGACCCATTTTGTATCTGAGAAGAGGTCTATTGTAGCGCTCATTTCGATCCGAAAAGGGTCTACTTTTTTCTTGACTTTACAGCAGCGGCAGGAGCACCAGCAGCATCGACCGGCACTAGAATTTCAACGACGTGCCAAAGAGACACGAGTCGGCGTACTCCCGCCGTAAATCACCGACAACTTTCTCCATCTGTAGCTTGGACTCTCGACACTCGGACTCGAGCAACTGGAACCGGAGCGACACCTCGCGTCGGAATCGACGCAGTCGTTTTCGCTCCTTCTTTGCTCCCTCACGTCCTGGTCGACGCTTTTGACTGCTGCTGTTGCTGCTGCACCTGTTGCTTCGAAGCAGGCGCTCGTCCTTGAGACTGCTGTCGTCGCTATCGCTGCTGCTACCGGAGCTACCAGAGCTGCTCTCACAGTTGCACTCACAGTCGCTAGTACCCTCCACTCGACGTCGTCCTCGCAGCATCGTTGTCGTGCAAAGTCTCTCCTTCCGCCGTCGCTTGCGCTGCTCCAGTGTGCGTAACAGCGCCGCATACTCTCGCTGTAGACTGCTCAGCCGCTGTTGCCCGCGCCAGAACGTCTTCTCCTCGCTGTCGAGCCACTGTTTCTTGCGTGCTGACTCGGTGTACAGCGCCGCCAGCGTCTCGCTCACGTCACGGTCGGACCTGTCGTCCGCGTGTTCTTCGCCTCGAGTCAAACGCCGCGCGTGCGTCGCGCGGTCGTCGCTCGGGCGCTGGTCGCCTCTGCTTGCCAGCTTTTCTTCATGGGTGCACACGCGGAGCACGATGGACTTTTCCGTGGTGCGCGAGATGCCGCACTGGGGGTTCAGCTTGACCGACTGCGATGAGAACCACGTCCGGTGGTCGTGCGAAGCCGTCGCGTCGTTGCGGTTCATTGCTGCGAAATAAATAGGTTCCATCGTACGCAACGCTGGACGCGAAATGGGTATATTTAATGGACCTTTTGGCGCAAAAAGCGAGCGCATTTGCGTCTCTCCCTGGCGACAAACTCGTACATTTCGACAAAAGTGTCGGGCTGGCATCGAATATTGTGCAAGCACATACATCTGCTCGGCGTTGGGTCTTTTTTTCTTCATTCATAGCACTGCTGCAGATTCTATGGCTTCGTGTCCGGAAGAATGGGACCGTCTGAAGCGACCGGCAACATCGTCGGCGACGAAATGCGTCGCGAAGTGTGCAGCACAGCGACAGAGTGCGCACCACCGGCAGATGCCTGGAAAACAGGAAGTGGACCGAGTTCCAGCTGCGTGGGGACTGACAATGCTTTCAGGTCTGTCAAGCCGAGTCGGCCATGGCTGCAACAAAACACCACGACGTAGTGAGTTTCCTGGTAGCTCGTCTTGGCACAAACATGCGCTTGCGACGTACTCAGCCCGTCCAGCAACGTAGACAGTGCCGTCACGTGTAACGAACAAGGTGTGCGAGCCACCGCACGCAGCCTGCATCACTTTTTTGCCTTGCAGAGCTTCCACCTGTATACACAAGGGGGGCACTTGAAAGGTAAGCAAACCTTGCTAGCCATCACGATCGATTCTACTATCACAGTAGTACCAAGTGGGGCCGCAATCGACTCTTTGCGTCACCGAGACCCAGTCGCCCGTATTCACCTCGTCCGAAGGCGTAACAGTCTCCTGACTTCGCCACCACCACAGTGTGCCAGCCACCGCAAGAGACTCGCCTGCAAATGCCAGGCCATCCATTCACATGAGAGAGACCCAACGCAAGCAGCACACATATGCAAACAACGTACTGCGCTGGAATGTCGTCGAAAAACTCGATACGCTTCGGTGTCTGCTGGTCGGAAGTCTGGCCAATGCCAAGCATGCCGTAGTCTTCTTTCCCCCAAATGTAAACGTGTCCCTCTTCAGTCACCGCAGCGGAGTGGAACGCACCACATGTGACCTGTGCGACCTTCTCATGATTGAACCCGTCCAGCAAATGCGGACGGCTGACTCCCATGAGACCGTCACTGTCTGTATCGTTCAGCCACGCTGAGCCAATACCCAGCTGCCCGCTATCGCCTCGTCCCCACACGAACACACGTCCCAAGTTGGTCAGTGCAGCCGTGTGAGTGCCCCCACAACTGACCTTCACAACATGTTCACCGTCTTCAGTCGCGGGCATGGAGCACTGGACCGGCAGTGACTCGTGCGACGCGTCAAACTCCTTCGGCAACCCCAGCTGACCCCAGTGCGTCTCGCCCCACATGTACAGCGTGCCGTCGGTCGTCACTGCAGCAGAGTGACAGCCCCCACAAGAAATGTACGTGACCACGAGGTGGTTGTCCGCGAAAAAGTCGATTTTGCGGGGCGCGTTCATGCACTTGAGGTCTCCATGGCCCAACTGGCCCATCTGCATCATGGAAAGTCACCACCGCACTCCCACGTCAGTCGAATGCAACAAAGAAGTGACCGGAAAGTAGCAGCAGTACAGGCAGTCGCACGAACCGATCCCCACCCCCACGAGAACACGACACCACTGGCCGTGAGCGCCATCGTATGACGAGAGCCGCACGAGACGGCGACGACGTCCTCGTCACGCAAACTGTCGAGTTGCTCAGGGAAGTTGGAGGCCGACACGTCGTCGAGGGCCAGTGTCGGTCGGCGCTTGGCGCCTGTGCCCAGCTGCCCGTCGTCATTGCAGCCGAAGGCCACCACGCGACACTCCATTGGGCACGCGGACAGGTCGGACGTCGGGCGCTGATTTGTGTTAGTGGTGAAGAGATGTTGAAGCCGACAATTCACTTTGGAAGAGGAATTTGCTGCTGCTGCAGAAGCGAAATTGTTGTGTTACGTGTGAACGGCAAAAGTTACGATCGAAATGCCACGAAATGTAAAAAAAATGTGGTATACCAAAACGCTCGGGGGCGAGGAGGGTACTCTGTGATGACTTTAGTAGGAGATGTGGGGACGGTTCATCATCGTGCTATACAGCAATATATTCGTAATGTTGCTTTCCCTACCAGATAAAAGCATCAGTAAGCACTTGCTTGCGAGGTAAGTCGACCAAAAAAGAACAGGCACTCCGTTGGCTGAGTGCTGTAGAAAAACGGTCATAGTTCGTAACTTGTGCCAATGCATCGGCAAGAAAACGGAGTGGCCGGAGGTCTCAACATGTTTTTGCTTCATAGATGCACATGAACGAATAAGCAATGGTGAGGTGTACGATAATGCCGTGAAAGAAAAAGCCTTCGCGAGGGATGTGATGCGTGTGTCTTAGCACTTGACGTGACGGCTGCTTTTTTTAGCACAGCTTGTTTGTTATGATCGAGAATGTGAAGGAGTTGCTTGAGCTCATCAAGCACGAGCGTAGCACGTACAAAGCCAAGGAAAACACGAGACGGTGTCGATCGATCAATAAAGCGTTTACGCGCACATGCGCGACGCGCCCTGGGTGTGAAGTGCTGGACGTGAACACTTGTGCCTAACCAAAACTCTTTTGTGATCACGTTTCTTACTACGTGTTGTCTGTAAAATTTGCAGGCGAACGTCACATTCTACCGTGAAAGCTCAAAAAGGGATACGAAAACGTCTCAAGATCAACTTCGACAACAGAAAAGTCAATTGCACAAGTTATAGTCATACAAAGAAGTGCGAGTCTGTCTACCGTGGCATTTTCCAGCACCAAACTGGCACCGAGGCGGTCGTAGCAGAAGGCACAGAAACCAGGTGAACCTCGCGCGTTCGTTGGATGCACTTAGCCGAGCTTCGTTCGCCAGATTAATCGTAATTGCGTTCAGCTCCGGTCCAACCAATTTTCAATTTATCCTGAAAAAGAAGGTTGCTCATGGGCATCTTGCCGTCGTTCCACTCAACCTTATTGAGCGCGCATCGGGCTGATGGTGTCAAGTCGTCCCACATAACCAGTGTTTGAGTTTCGCCAACATCAGTAGACAATTCGACGAAGTGCCTGTCGCCCCGAGCTAGGTACTCGAATTTTGGGACGCCATCGGAGAACGACCTTGGATTGATGTAGGTAGCAGTTTTCTTTCGTCTCTCCGTCCGATTCCACTATCGTCACTGCCTCGACGCGCGACACAGCAGGGTCAGGGTTGTTGAGCCAGACGATGACCCACTTCCAGTCGTAAGGGTGGCCAGTCCCACTGCCCATCGATTCTTTTGGAACGAACCAGGCGAACATCATGCCCCAATGATCAAACATCCACATTGAACGCACGTAGACTTGACTGCCCAGGATAGGTCCCTTGCAACCGGCATCATGCGCTCCCGAAACATTGAGACCACCACTGATCGCACCATCCGCGCTCACCGCGGCGTACGGGTGGCATCCGTGAACAATTTGGAGCGTGGGTTTGTACTTGTGGGCCGCAAGCTCGGAAAAAAGTTTGGGCGGTTTCTCAGGAAGCGGTTTCACTTGGTCGTAAGGGACCTTCTTTTCTCCACAGTATTGTGGCTGGCCTTGGGGCAAGACCGCGAGCAGAGCGGCGTACAAGAAAGCGGCGGCCCTCATGGCTGTTTATTGCCGCGTTGCGTCGTTGAGCAAGTGAAGTGATAAATGAACGGAACTGGGACTGCTGGAAAAGCGAAGCAACAACCCCTCGAATAATACTTGACAATTGATTGCCTACGCAAGCAATTCTCTTTGATGATGTATGTATGTATGTATGTATGTATGTATGTATGTATGTATGTATGTATGTATGTATGTATGTATGTATGTATGTATGTATGTATGTATGTATGTATGTATGTATGTATGTATGTATGTATGTATGTATGTATGTATGTATGTATGTATGTATGTATGTATGTATGTATGTATGTATGTATGTATGTATGTATGTATGTATGTATGTATGTATGTATGTATGTATGTATGTATGTATGTATGTATGTATGTATGTATGCATGTATGTATGTATACGCACGCATGCTCTTGACGCTTTTTTGAGCGGCAACGAGCGGACGACACAAAGCAGAATTCGCCGTACATTCAGGTGACACGCTCTTTGCACTTGCATGGACTCTTATAGAGCGTGCTAGACACTTGATACGTGTAGCGTTCTCATTAACCTCCCGCCACGTGTTTCACAGCTCGTGGCGTTGTACATGCGAGACTACACACCATAAGAAGAGGGTCATCTGCGTTTAGGGCGTAGCACACGTTTTGCCCGTCGTGGCGCCGCAAAAAGCATGCAACACGCGACAATAGTGGATGGTCACATAGGTGTAACACACCCTCTGTATTTCATGCGGCTAGCCGCATGTTTCGCAAGGAGCATACGACACCTCCCAGAAACAAATCGTCCATGTACAGCGTGTGCAGTCCATGAAGTCGCATGGGGCTAGCGAAACATCGCAATTGTGGATAGTTCATCAACAGTGTAGCACAATTTGTGCGGCTCCTGCAAGTTGCGCCGCATGCTTTCACATCGCAGAAGAAGACGGCCATGCAAATTGATGTCTCTATTTGCCTGTTGGTAAGTCACAAGAGCGTGCTACACAAACAGAAGTGGACCGTTCATATCAATGTCGCACCAACCGCAAGCAGCAGATTGTCAGAATGCCACTTTTTATCACAAAATGCTGCATGATTGCCCAGTTATACCACTCATTTGAACAAGATCGCCGCAAAAGGGGTCGACGACTTATTACGGTAATTAAATGCAATGAGTATCAAGTAACCACACTGCCGTTCGAACGAAGAATGCAAAAGAGAGCTAGTCCGACCAGCACGTCGCAGCGGGAATCTCAGGCTGACGTTCGAAGGACATCAAGCCTAATGGTTGGCTGCATTAGCAATTGACCAATATCAAGCAAATCGCATGAGCGACTAAAAGAAGATAATCGCGCAGCTGTAACACAAGTTCACCGTCACTCTGGCCTATCAATCGTTTAAGTGGAAGTGGCAGTTTCCCGTACTTCAACGCCATAATTAGAGATCTAACAATCGTTTGACGCCATAAATCGAGTTATACAACAGCTCAACAACGTCAATCGAGAGATAGGCAGCTGCTCAACAACGTCATTCAAGACAGCATACAGCTTAAGCACTTTCAATCGGGCTAGTACGACGCTACAGCACCGTCTATCTCTCCGATACATTTGGCTCAAAAGCGTCGATCGGGTCAATCCAGTCGTACTATAGCGCTAATCAAGGCAACTGTCGATTTCCTTTGTGTAATTAGCTCCAAATAAATTGTTGGCGCGTCGTGTATGTAACAAGGATGACACGTCGGTTGATGATCGACCTAACATGTATGCTACATACCTGGAATGGGATCCCGATTGAAAGTGAAATTAGAACACCTTAATAGTTTGTTGGGGCTGACGTGTGTCGGCAACCAGATCAGAGATCTAGAAAAAGGTACTTATTAGAGCATTCGTGACCATATTGGGTACGTTTGGTCGAATGTGTCATTTCACATTGAGCAAAATAAAGTCCATTTCCCGTTTTGATCTATTAGAGACACGTGTCTTCTTAATGCGTATCAGGGTGTGAGAAATTCAAGACATGTTAAAGCGTAGATTTTGATGAGTCTGTGCTATTTAGTCACGGGTTCGTTTGGTACCTTGAACAAGGACCCTGTAGCTTTAAGCTCGTTGACTCGTATAGTCGTGTTTTTGTAAAAAAACACGAAATTTCTTCTTTGAGCAGGAAGCCTTTCTATAGATAGAAGTTGTACCGGCTTCGCTACATTATATACTACTGTTTGAATGCATCTAGTTTATTCTTTGTAGTTTATGACCGCCCTTCTGATCAGGTACCTAGCAATCAATATAAGGACACGATGTTTTTTCTGACGACATTCTGTATTTACCTAACACTGCGAGCTTCCGAGATACCCGAATACCACTCCAGTATATAAAATATGGACATATCATAACATTATACAACTAGATTTTTACCTTAACGTTCGTCCAATTAAAGTGTGTTGGAAGTTGCTCGCGGACTTAGACCACGTAGATCTTATATTTAAGTTATAAGCTAGCCATGGCGAGCATAAGCAAGATTACGTGGCTACCTCGTCAAAAATATGGTGGTGAATATGTTTACGCGGCGAACTTGCCCGCCGTACCGTACGATCGATGAGTGAGTACCAAGGTCTGAGAATTATAAGGTTTGGACCTCACATATTAGATTCAGGAATAGGGAATATTACGTTGACAGTTCATCTAAGAATATCACAATCCAAACGTAGGATTGGTGGGACGGTGGGACGGTCACTGTCATGAGTGACACAAAATGAACATGCGAGGAATAATTAGTATAATCGAATAAATTAATGGACATACATCAGGTTTATTTAAAAAGGCCATATACTTGTCATTTTCACCCTCATTTGGAAATTCTCTTAGCGTGAAATATTAAATTAAGTGGGTTGTGAGCCTAAGCGCAGGTGAGGCGAATAATGTCTACCACAAGAACCCCTACTTTGTACGATAGTTTTACGCTCAGACAAAGCTCGCCATGAAGGGGATACTGTAACACATCGACGATACGATAGCAACAAGTATCACGAAGGCCGACCCGTCAGTGTGTGGAAAGTAAATAGTATCATGGTATTCGCGATTGTGTGAACATCGATTACCCCAAGTCTATATTACATGGCTCGAAATGCACGGACGACTCCTAAAGCTAAGGAAATATAGAATAAGTTTATTCCTCGAAAAAACATTTGTAATCGGGATCTAATGCGTAGATAGCTGTGTGAGTTTAAGACGCAGAAAAGAGCGAGCGCACTATATCACTTTTAGTTTATTTAGCTGTAAATGTCCATGCAATCCATCGGTGAAGAAGAATCGTACGAAATGCGGCTCGTTATACTGCATAATAGCATTTACGACGAATAGGATCATATCATCAGGTTTACCAATAACGGGAAAGAGGCATTTAACGATTACTAGACAAGGTCAATAATTTGTCGTGAATGCGAAGGCACCGCTTGCAAAGAGAAGATCGAATTTGCATTGAAGGCTACAAATAGTGTTACGGGACGAAATTTTTTGGTTAAAACACACAAGAAACAAGGCTATTGGGACGTCTTATGTATATATGGAAAGGTAACAGGAATTAAAGGTTAGTGAAAATATAAACTTAAGAGAAGAAGAAGTGAACGTGGCTTGGAAAGCTGGCTAATTGATAGTGGGGCACGTAGTCATATGTACCCGTACAAAAATGAACTTTTGAAGATTCAATTTTCAAACAGGCATTTATTATCTCAATCGCAAATGGAAAGACAGTTATGGCTGCTAAAATTGGTACAATTCAGAGGTGTTAGTTTTCAATTCGCATTTACGACGTGTTGTACTTTCCGGAGCTGGATTACGGACTCCTTTTTATTCTGCATTGTCTTCTTATGGGTTGAGTGTCACCTTTACCAACATGTTGTGTGTGATCAAATAGGCCAAGATGTGGTGGCCCATGTAAACAAATTGTTAAAGTTGTATGCGGTGGAATGTTTTGTAATAAAGTCGGCATGTGCTACTAATGTGTTTGGCTGTAAAATTATGTTGTGAGTTCAAGTGTGTGTCATGCACGACAAGGACATCTTCCAATGGAGGCATGGAACACCTACACAACGATGTAGCAGAAATAAATGTACAAGCCTCGAGTTTTGATGTCGATAGCCAAGACGGAATTTAAGAAGGTTTAATGACTGGAAAGTAGTCATTTAACACTCTTTAAAATCAAGTCACGTCGAAGTGAAGACGATTTCACTGCTCTATATAATGTCACAGTGAAAAGTCTTTTGAAGAGAATTCTGAAGGAAGAGCACAATATGTGTTAACATTTCTAGATGATTCCTCGCGCTATGTGGTGGATTTTCTTAATATATTTTAAAGTACTGGGTCGATCCATCAAACACAAGTCGAAGATTGGAATTAAATTTAGTTTGTTAAATAATGCGTATTCGCACAGATAATGTTGACGATACATCTGGAAGATAATTGCTGAAGTTTGTCGTTACGGTGGCAAAGTACACCAAGCGACGGGGCCATATTCACTGAAACAAAATGGGATGGCTTACAGTATGTATTTTACAATGAACGAACGAGCAACATCGATGCTTAACTACAAGCAAGTTCTAAAGTTTTAATTTGACGCTACAACGCAATAGTATATGTACTCAATCAGGCCACGCGCGCTGTATGTCCAACAAAATCTCCAAAGGAGATGTGTATTGGCTCTAATCCAGACCTATCATACATGCGATATTATAATCGCTCAAGTTTGCGCACAGATTGACGAAACAACATATCCTTGATTGGACAAGATAGGCACTTCGAAGCATTTTCTTCGAAAAACGCACGAGTTAATGGGTTATCGTGTCCAAAATTATAGCTCCGAAAACTCTCGAGATAACAAGATCAGTGGCTTTCCAAGAACAACTAATGGAGGGAGGTCGTCATAGTTGTTGGCGATACACCTGCGTCAACTTGTAAGCACGCAAAAAGAAATGGCGGTAATGATGTTGATGATGTCGAGGTTCGATATCTCTAATCCAG